CCACTGCCAACTCTCTCTTGAAAGAGGTGTGACTAGGATCCAAAATAATCAAAGTTATCTTGTTTGTGATGTAGACGATATCTCTATTGGAATAGCAAAAATGCATGCAGCCTACACTGAATCATTTAGTTCGGTTACAACAATTTCTGACAACCTCGCGTATGGCTCAATGAATCTAGAAACCAAATTTGAAGAGTATTTGATAGAAAATATGACAGAGTTAAATTTAAATCTTTCGCTAATTGCTCAATTCGTCGATGAGTTCTCTGAACTCATCAAGGCAAATATTTATTTATCGCTCATTTTATTTGCATTTTTTAATCCTATTTATTTGTTCTAATAGTATGCATTTAGCACGGACTTTCCAGAAGAGGTCGTCATCACACAAAATGATGCCAATGGGAATCTCATCCAATTTACTTATGAAGAACTCAATAGAATTGTCTTCAAGGAATTTATCGAAGGTGTAATTGAGTACATATTAAACGCCGTTGAAGCTCACCGTCCATGCAAGCTGTTAATCTCTGGAAAATATGGGGCTGATACGCACTTTTTTAAAAATCTTACGGAAAAATGTGAGGGGGAGATAAAGCTATGTATTTACCCTGCTAAATCTTCGTTGGATATGATTTCTTCGGGTGCAGTTTCTTCAATTTTAATCTCTCCCGTATCATCACAAATCCCCTACTTTGACGGCGAACAAGTCTCCACATCGAAAAAAATCTTGGAAAATCCCGCTAAGAATGTTAACAGAAATGATGCTTACGACTTCATTGTTGGAATTGGTTTGTAACATCTAAAAAAAAAACTAACTTTGATTTAGTCTTTTAAACTTCCCACTATTTTTTATTTAGATTTTGGTACCACTTTTTCTGGGTGTTCTTATGTCCAACTTAAAGATAAGCACGGAAAACCTATGGATACAAAGACCATTAAGACTATAAAAGACAAATGGTAATATTAGGTGTAAGAGTTTTTGAAACTCCAACAACACTCTGACTGCTATTTATAGGCCAGGAAGCGATCTAAATGTGTTCGGAAAAACCCCAACCTTATTAGCCTACGATAAGAAGATGAAGCCGAAATATTTTGGTGAAGAAGCAAGAATTCAAGCCAACCTTCATAAAGAGCTCAACCTTCTGGAAAATTTTAAATTGTTTTTATGTCCAGAATCTTTAGAAAATTTTTATGGCAACAATAATGATCTGGAAGAACTGAAAGAACAAGGAGGATTTACTGAGGACAAAGACTCGAAAACCGAAGTTCAAGCGGTCAAATTTATTGCTGATTACCTCAAGCTTTTTAAAAATCATATCATTGAGTACATCGTTACCCAAGAAATGGACGAACATTTTACTTTCTATAACAGGTCTAAGCTTTTAAAAAAATACAAGATGCGATATGTGATTACCGTTCCTGCTATGTGGAATTCATCGGCCCGTGACACCATGGTACAAGCTGCGATTGAGGCTACTCTAATCAAAGAAAATGAGATCGACCAGCTTCTTATAATCAGTGAACCCGAAGCAGCAGCCTTGTACTGCGAAAATAGATTTACAGAATATATAGGTGATTTAAAAGGGGATGTAAACGATACAAAATTTATCGTCTGTGATGCTGGCGGAGGAACCGTCGATTTAGTTACTTTTAATTTAAAAGTCAATGAAAACAAGGAGATGATGATTTGTCAAGCTGGTGATGGTGTTGGTGATACTTGCGGCTCAACTTGTCTTGATCTGAGGTTTAAAGACTATGTTATGAACTTTTATGACAGTATTGGAGTAAATATGGAGGAATCAAAAATTCAGCTTGACTCTGTTATGCAGCATTTCATAAAAAATCAAAAGGTAAAAGCATTACATTTAATGTCACAGTTTGCTGTTTTCAATTTAATTTTTAAATAATATAGAGCCAATTTTTGCCTTATTTGCAAAGCGATACTTTCTACGATATACGTTTGCCCGGAAAGAGCGTCTTAAATCTTTCTAACAGTTCCAAGTATAGAATGGCTGATAATAATAGTACACTTAGAATGAATAACCAAGAAATGAAAGATATAGTGTTTGATCCAATCGTTGATCGCATTTTCGCTCTTATCAATGATCAACTAGAGCAGGCAGAGAAAGGAGACAGAAAAATTGACGCGATTTTGATGGTCGGAGGCTTTTCTCAATCTCAATACCTACAGCGACGCATCAAAGACCAGTATAAGGGTGTTTGTCGGGTCAGCGTTCCCTCCGGAGGGATCATGGGTATATCTTATGGCGCCGTTTCTCATGCATTAAACCCTCGTATGTTAACAAAAAAAAATGCCGGACAATCCCTTAGCCTAAATTTCCAAGAGCCTTTTGATAAAAACTTGATTAATTCAGCAAAGAAAGTGAAAGGTTCCAATGGAGACAGAGATTTTAAAAAAGAATTGTTAAAGTATTACGTAACAAGAGGTCAAAAATTGAGATACGAGCGAACATTGTACAAGGAGAATGTATATGTTTTGTATCCCAACGCTGCAGTAATAGGTACATACGATAATAATAAAAAAACCTCAGAACTGACTAACTTTGATATCAGCAATCTTCTCTTGTGACTCTGAAGAAGACGCGGACAATAAATACATTACTACTAGGCATACCAAAATTGTGGAAACTAGAATTATCATGCCGTCTATGGTTGGAATAGATGGGAGAATAATTCACTTCACTGTTAGTCTTCAGATAGAATGTATGGGCCTCAGTGTTACTGTTGAATGTCAAGATCAACTAATTAATGCCGAAGTCCAAAATATCACAAGAAATCAATGTTCTTCTCTTATATTTGAGACTATGCGTAGCATTAATGTGATAGGTACCAAACAACCTTTGCTTTTGTATTCTTTAAGAAACAATTGAATATCCTTTTAATATCAAAGAAAGCTCAAAGCAGAAAACATTTACGTGGATTAGATTTGTTTGCCATAGTTAACTGCCCAAAGAAATCCATTATATACGGGTAAATGACAATTTTAATATAATGCCTAAATTTAACAAGACATATAAACCTTTATAATTTCACATGAGAATAACACTAAAAGTGAACTTTAAGTGCTTCTCCTAGCTGCCTACTATAAAAATAGTCTAATAGATCAGACCACGAGAACTTAAAAGCATATCCTGTCCCAAAAATGAAAGTTAATCCTTAGATGACAAGAGAGCACCTGGGCGAACATTTGTTTTAAGGCGACTATTCCGTGGAGATGAGGTGACTGTCTAGGAGGATGTCAATCCTTGGCTGCCTATACAAACTGAGATATCTCTAGCATATATTTAAACAAAGCAAGATAAATCACCTTCATGATAAATTCGGTTACTAAGCCTCTTACATGTCATTTTTAGTATCCCAGCCAGAATTATATCTCGACAAAGTCTAATGACGAAGAGTGTGTCGACTGGCTTCAAACAGCTACGACCATCCAGGTTGTCTTTTTACTCGTTTCTGAATGCACCCCATTGGACGATGTAGTACTATTTTTGTAAGAAGTTCTTGGAACTAGGGATACCAGAACTCAAGTCAGATTGTACTAAAATGTGAATAAAACAATACAGACAAAAGTAAAGATCCCATCCGACAACGCCAAAAGCTTTACTATCAAGCGACTTTGACAACCAAAATTGTCTCTTCTCTATTCCAAACCAATTAAAAACTACTATGGCCTTTAAAAAACTTTTAAATTTAACAAGTATCGAAGATTTACAGAAATGGGTCGCCCGAGGATCAAAGAGAATTAAAAAAATACTTTTCCTAGAAAAAAAAGCTTCCCATGATAAATTTCATCCAAACATCAATAGCAAACTGGGTTTGCTCACACTTCATTACTCATCTAACTTATCTAATATTTGGACTATTTATTGGCTGAGTCGTGGTAACACATTTATGTACGACAGCAAAGAATGACTTTTGACTGGATGACGGGATAGGCTTTTTAATATCGTTTTTCTTTTTCTCCCCTTTTTTAAAAATATGCCTAGCTTGAATCAGGTAGAATACATCGTCGGAATAGGTGAGTGGCCATAATACAACTTCTTAGACAAATCTTATAACAGTTTATGCAGCAGATTTAGGAATAGTCACTTCAACTGTCTCTATAGCTCACGTGAACGATCCATTTAATATTATTACCGTTTTATCCTGGTACTTCACTAATTGAAATAAACTGTTGCGTTTATAAAAGTTGCTAAAGACTTAGATAGGGATGATTTGAAGAAAAGCTCCCCAAAATTCCTCTCTTCAGTTCTGTACCTGAATGACGGGAACAATACCCCATTATGTGGTATCAGACACGACGATGTCGGCGATTTAGGTGTTTACGTGGCTAACATCGGCCAATATCTTTTTGATATCGATGCTTCAAATGTAAAACTTGGCCAAATGATGGATGGTTTGACCCTTCAAAAAGTGATGTCTGATTATTTGAAATATTTTATTCAACTTGCCCTTAAAAGATTGCAGATTCATGACAAAGTTATCAAAAATATCCACTTCGAAGAATTTGTCAACGAAGAGTTTATTGACGAAGGCATTAAAACTGTTTGTTATTGTGTCATTTGTCCGACCGATCGACAAGAATTTATGAAAGATTGCTTCATCGAAGCAGGAATTATCGAAGAGTCTGAAGCTGAGCACCAACTTTCATTTGTCATCGAAGCGGTTGCTACTGCTCACCATCAACTCTCCCTTGAAAGAGATGTGACTAGGATCCAAAATAACCAAAATTATCTTGTTTGCGATGTAGGCGATATCTCTATTGGATTAGCAAAAATACATGCAGCTTCTACTGAATCCCTTAGCGTTATTACAAAAATTTATGACGATCTCACACTAGGCTCTATAAATCTGGAGACGAATTTTAAAAATCATCTGATAGATAATATGGCAGATTTGAATTTGAATAATTTATTGATTGATCAATTTGTCGACAAGTTCTTAAAAATAAAGGTAATTTATATGCATTTACAACTAAAGCCATAAATTACTAATATAGTATACGTGCGTTACTAGTATGCATTTACCATGGATACTCCGGACATGGTTGCCATCTCAAGCGAGAACTCCAATGGGGATACCGTTAATTTTACGTATGATGATCTTAACCGAATTGTTTTCGAACCATTTGTCAAAAGCATAACTGAATTCATATCTAACGCGGAAGAAGCTAATAATCAATGCCATTTGTTTCTCTCTGGAAAGTATGGCGTCGATACATACTTTATAGAGAAGCTTAAAGCCAAAAATGCGGGAGGGTTGACGTTTCACCATTCTACTGTTGATTATAAACTTGAGAAGGTTTCCTCGGGCGCTGTATCTTCAATAATAAGCACCTATAAATCCCAAATACCCTTCTTCCTCGATAATGAGAACCGATTCCTATTTCCTGATAAAGAAAGGTTATTACCAGAAAAAGTGCTGGAGGAATCTACTGATGATAACAATGGAAATGACACTTATGATTTTATTGTTGGAATTGGTTTGTCACTGCTAAAAAAAAAACTCCTAGACTTAAATAAGTTTGTCTTAATTGTCCCGATATTTCTTTTAGATTTTGGTACCAGTTTCTCTGGATGTTCTTATGTCAAACTCAAAGATAAGGATGGAAAACCTGTGACTGAAAAAATTATCAAGACTATAAGTAAAAAGTGGTAATACTCAATGCAAGTGTTCTCAAAATTTCAACAATACCCTAATTGGTAATCATAGGCCAGGAAACTGTCTAAATAAGCACACTAGAGCACCAACTTCGTTAATTTACGATAAAAATATGAGGCCGGAATATTGGGGCGAAGAAGCAATTCTTAAAGCCACGCGTCATAAAGATCGCAAACTTTTGAAAAATTTTAAAATGTTTTTATGTCCATATTCTATGGAGGGTTTTTATGGTATGACTTATGATCCGCAAAATCTGAAAGAACAAGTAGAATTTGCTGATGACGGAACTACAGAAAACAAAGTGAATGTGATCAGAGTTATTGCTGATTATCTCAGGCGCTTTCATCATCATTCTATTAAATACATCCTTGCTGAAGAAATGGATGAAATATATTCATTTTTTAATAGGACAGAGCTTTTGGAAAAATACAAGATTAGATATGTGATTACTGTACCTGCCATGTGGAATTCTTTAGCACGTGATAGCATGGTGCAAGCAGCAATTGAAGCTACAATGATTAAAGAAAACGAGGTCAACCAGCTTCTTATAATCAGTGAGCCCGAGGCAGCGGCATTGTACTGTGAGAAGAAATTTACTGAGCACTTAAATAGTCTGGAAGGGAATATAAACGATACAAATTTCATTGTATGTGATGCTGGTAGTAGAACCGTGGATTTAGTTACTTTTAATTTGCAAGTCAATGAAAAAAAAGAATCGATGATTTGTCAAATTGGTGACGGTGTTGGTGATACATGTGGCTCAACTTATCTTGACGTAAGATTTAAAAACTACCTCTTTGAATTTTATAACAATTTTGGAGTGAACATAGAGAGAAATAAAATTACTCTTGACGATGTCATGCGTGATTTTGTAACAAATCACAAGGTAACAGAGATGTAATTATGTGAACATAGCTCTTCCCAACTAATTTTTAAATGATATAGCCTGATTTTATGCCTAATTTGCAAGGAGACACTTATTATGACATCGATTTGCCTGGGAAGGGGATTATAAACTTTACTGGAGATTCTACCTACAGAATGGCTAATGGGAATAAGACGCTGAGAATGAAGAACCAAGATATGAAAGAAATAATATTCGACCCTATAGTTAATCGTATTTTTGCCCTCATTGATGATCAAATTAAGCAGGCCAGCAAAATGGATAGTAAAATTGACGCAATTTTGATGGTTGGTGGCTTTTCCCAATCCAGATACCTACAGAAGCGCATCAAAGACCAATATAAGGGTGTTTGTCATGTCAGCGTTCCGTTCGAAGGTGTCACGGCTATATCTCATGGCGCTGTTTCTTACGCTTTGAATCCCCGTATGATATCAAAAAAATCTGCCGGACAATCCCTTGGGTTAGAAGTACAAGCCCCTTTCTATAAAGAATTGACTGATTCAGCAGAGAAAAAAGTTATTGGTCCAAACGGAGTTGCTTTTGAAAGAGGTCGCTTAGATTACTTTGTAGAAAAAAATCAACAACTGGAAGGCGATCGACGAACGGTATATATGAAAGATGTATTTGTTCAATACCCCAGCGCTGCAATTATAGGTAATTATGACCATTACAAACTACATCCATCAGTTAGCTAATTTTTATATTAGCAATCTTCTCTTGTGACTCTAGAACAGGTGCTAATGATAGATATGTTACTGACAATCACGCTAAGATAATGGAAACCAAAATCATCATGCCGTCTGTCAACAAGAGAGACGGAGACCTAGTCAAATTCAAAGTTAGTCTTCAAATAGAGCATATCGGGGTCAGTGTTACTATTGAATGTCAAGATCCACATATCAATGAGGAAGTTCGAAAGATCACTAAAAACCAAAGGTCCTCTCTTAAAATTAAACCCAAATACAGCCTTAATGTGGCAAGCTCAAAACAGTCGTTGGCCTCATATTCTAATACTGGCTATCTTTTCAGTATTACAGAGACCTCATAAGCAAGAAAGTAAACGCGGGTTAGATTAGTTTGTTATTTAACAGCCCAAAAAATCTGAATTTATGCGGACACAACATCTTTAATATAGTGCCTAAATTAAACAAGACATGTGAACCCTTATAATTACACTCATGATGATACATTTGTCGGCTTAGCTCTTACACTGGATGGAGAAATTTAACGGGGTATATAATTAATTTTATTTTTAGAAAAAGGCGAACGAGTATTTTTGTTTCGCATTGAAAACGGGTCGCAAAAGGATCATTCTGTGATATTTAATATTGAAAACAGATGTAAGCTATGGTCATAGCTTGTAGGGAAGAAAAAATTGGGTCTGCAGGAATGCTCCCTTGCCTATCACACCAAATTAAAAAAAAGCGCTTTAGTAACTATGGTAGAGACTAAAAATTGATCACAAAAGTGTTGTCCAATATTATGTCTAGAGCTTACTCAAAACTGATTGCATTCACATATGTTTTAAATTATGGGTCTATCCAATGCTCTCTTGCTTAAATGTTTCAACACCGTCAATGTTTTATGACCATCAATACATATTTCATTCGATAAAAGGGTAATAAGCTGTCCTCGTATTATTGTTTGATTTAAAAATTTTTGAACAATAGTTCTTCTGTGGGCGATTTGCATAAGCATATTGTTTTGAGAGATAAATTATATCTAATAAGGTGTAAAAATCTATCAGGCGATTTATTAGGTTTTTTTTACAAATAAACATCAGAAAAAATACGATACTTGACGGAATTGAGACAAACATAAAGAGTGGGCTTAACGAAGTCTTTTTAAAAGATATGTTAGTAGTTGAGTTGGGCTTTTCTTTTCGAACCAGATTTTGCCCTTCCCTCCCTAATAAAGGCGTCTATAAAAGTGTACAATGCCTGCCGCTGCCCTGTTGTTAAATTAGCGGATGCATATATAGCTTATAGATTCTGCCGTATAATGAATTATTATTTTCTATAAGTTAGGCAGATTATTGTTGTTGTTCGTCTTGGTTGATAAGAGCTTAATCAACAACCAACTGGAATTATTAACATAAAATTCAAGTGTCACTATACATGGATTTGTTACTATTTATACTTAAAATACTTTGTACATTATTTGTATGCGTCATAACATAGTACCACAAGATATGCGTGACAATTTTGTGTTGATCATATCTGGATAATGTTTCATACCCAATTTTAGCAGAAGAGTAAACAAGCTAATAATATTGAACGTTATTATCTATACATGTAACGATGAAAGCAAGCACACGTTTTAAGACGGGCTTTTATCATTAATTAGACAGTCGATGGCTGCGGCTTCAAGGTAGAAGCCGAGACCAAAAATCCTCAATAAAATTATATCTGTTTATTGTTTACAGCTTATGTCATAAAAGATACATATATTGATGATTTAACTTAATCACAAGCATAAATAAAACAGACCCATTAAGCTCTGTGCATCGATTGAAATATTGTCAGTAATGATCTTTCATAGAACTTGTTTTTACTGAACAAGAAGATGTGAATACAGTGTCTGTTTTAGCGATATACAAAGCTAAACGTTTGCCTTTTATTTGTGGACATTTAGAATCATCAAGGTCATTGTGACAACCTTATTATTCATTTCAATAGCTTGTGAAACAAGAAAAAGAAGCGCCGTATAAAAGTCTTCTTCAGATTTGATAGTCATATATTCATTGCAATCGTAACCATCTGACGAATATGGGTGGCAATACTTGATTTCAGCTTGATTGAATCCCATCCTCTTTTTAATTTGAGGTAAAACTAAATCATCATTTACTTCGAGCAGCATTCCGCGGTTTCCAACTGATGCCGGGCCATTGATATTGAGTAAAACAATATTTTTTGCTTTTAACTGGTGTGAATGATAATATGCGAGTAAGATACACCTTGGTCATTTTATGTGAGATCGTTGTATTACCTTTTCTAATTGAGTTCGGATTGTTCTTTTAAGACTTTCCACTCTCTTGTTTTGTTCTTCATTCATAATAGGTATACCAGCAATATTTGGGCTGAAAATTTAATTCCGCTATTTATATGCGTCTCAATCGCGTGAACCCTCGGAACCCAATACATATAAAGATGATAAATAAATTGGTACATAATTACACTATGTCAGCAGTACCACGGTTTTGCTTTAAACGCCTTTTCTTTATTATAGCAACTTCAAAGTTCAAAATGCCTGGAAAATCTACATATTCAAAATTCTTTGTTGTAAGATATGATGATTTAATTTGTAACAAGCATTTTGAGCGAATAATTTTTTTTTTTTGAATATCTATAGCTGAAGTATAACATAAAACCTGCTTTGGACACCCATTTTTTCATTAATTTGGATTATCAGAAATCTTTTGGTCAGCGTGAGAAGACAACCATGGTATATATTTTTGACGAGGATCAATCTTTTGTCGATATCATTAAGAAAAAGTTGATGAGGGAAGGAGTTACATACAAAAAAATAGTAGCAATATGTGAAGTATGCTTAAATATAACCATAAAAGACGACGAAGATCTTATGGCAGCAATACTAAACGAGTGGATTTTTGTTGACAGCAGAAAAACTGAACTGAATCTCTTAGTTTTATGATTAAAGCCTTTTCATAATGAATAAAATACATTCATGATCCTTTTTCACAGAGACATGCTTTACCACAATAGTTTTTTATTTATTTATGTTCAAGAAGCTAGTATGTCAGGTTTCAATGCGTAATGTACAGCCCCGAGTGAGACCGCAGACATACTTTCTAAAGGTACAATCAATAGAACAGCCGGTTCATATCTAGTTCGTAAACGTTGTTGCAAATATTTTGATTGTGCAAACCCACCCACCAAAAATAGAAATCGCACCTTGCACCTTTTCATTTGCTTATCTAATAAAGCCTCTATTCTTTCCATAACAGGATTGAACACCCGATTGTCCATGACTTCGTTTTTAATACGAAGTGTTCGATTACTATCTGCCAAGATGTAATTTTTGTTTTGTTCTGTCTTGACTGATTCAGCAATGACATACGAGCCAGGAAGTTCAATATCATAATAACTATCATTGGTCGTATCCGGCATAAAATCAACCTACACAGCTCTTAAATATTAGTTTACAGGTTGAAGGTTGTTCCCCAATCCAAACATACCTTGATGCGATTTACAAATCTATCCATGAATTCATCAAATTTACTGATGGCTGGATCAAAATGAACACCAATGTCTTTATAAAACTGCAAAATAAATGTTCTGAAATTCGCATCCAAATAAAAGGAGCCACACGTATCACTTTGACAATCACCCAATTGAGTCATATACCGTGTTGAGCTTAAATGGAAAGTACCCACGTCCACTGTGCCTCCACCCGCATCACATACGATAAAAGTCACATTACCATTTTTCAATTCTTGGGTCTGGTTTCGACAGTATAAAGCAGCCGCTTCTAGCTCAGTGATGACAATGATTTCATCATGTTTTTTTACAATATTAGCTTGAAATGCAGCATTCATTACAATTTGGCGAGTAACAGTGTTCCAGATTGCAGGGACTGTCATGACGTATTTGGTCTTGGGCTTTTTTTCGCTCTTTAATAATCGCATGGCTAGATTTGTCTTATCCACCTCTCCCACAAAATTTAGTATGTGTCGATAGAACAGCTTGAGGTAATCTGAAATCACGTCTTCCAAAATAATCTCATTATCAGGGTTATTATAGACGTCCAATAAGATGCCTGCTGATTCTTTGTCCAATTTAGCCTGTGAAAGAGACAGGTACAATTTAAAGTTCTCAAGTAAATTGTTTTCTTTACGAACACGAGCTCTTGACTTCGCCTCTTGGCCCCAGAATTTCACTTTGTTGCCCATATCGTCGTACATAAGAACAGTGGGTGCTTTGATACCCGATTTGTCTCCAGGCCTAAAAGACTCATGTCAAATGATGCTAGATCATAAGACAGTGAAACACGTACCATCCTGACTTTATAGTCTTTATCAACTTGGGATTGTCTAGACGAGAATAGGAACAACCAGAGAGCGTAGTACCAAAATCTATAATAATGCGTAAGAAGCAAAATCGAGTTAATCTATTTTCCAACTTACCAATACCCAGTATCAAAGCAAATGGTTTAGCAGCATCCTTTTTTTTTCGAAACAAAATATCCGTAGAGTTCCTCCGAGTCGGTTTAATAATATGTTGTGCAAAATGAACCGCGTCTATGTCACTCCCGTTTATTTTTGTCGTAAAATGTAATCGTGGCTCATTTTCCTTAATCAATTCTGCCTTGATAAAGCATTTGTTTATAAACGCTTGTAAAGCACTCGGACATATCATGCAGTAACTCATCATTTCTTGCTTAACGCCTTTAAATCTTTCAGTCTCCTTGAGCTTCGTCATAGCCAACTCATGAAAACCTCTCAAATAGTCTGTAACAACCATTGCAATGGTCAGGTCATATTGTTCCAGCTCTTTGTTTGCCAAATTTAGATCCAATAAATACTTGACCATGTTTGGAATATAGATATCGCCTTTCTCTATATCGTTGGGAGAGACGCCACAAAGTACTGTTTTGTTCTTCTTGTATAGGAGCGAAGCAGGAAGCTGCCGGTGATTTTTTGACCTGTGATTATTATAATCATTAAGATAACCTTTTATGCGACAATAAAACAAGTGATTGTACCAATTATCAATGGTGTAGACGGTCGGATCATCTTCATAGGCTATTGAAAAGCTAAACGCTGTAGATCCAAAGTCTGAATGCTTTTAATACAATGCAAACTTAAGGAATAAACACTCCAGCTTACCTATGCCTACAACAAATGGGTATTGGTTTAATTGACGAGGCATCTAAAATACAAAAGGGATAACGAAAAAAAAAAAAATGATTTTTTAGAATCAGTTATTGTTAAACGTTGTACAAGGCCAGAATCTTACATAACAAATACGGTTTTGAATGATCGAGCAGACAGACAGACATACAGACAGAGACAGAGACAGAGACAGAGACAGAGACAGAGACAGAGACAGAGACAGAGACAGAGACAGAGACAGAGACAGAGACAGAGACAGAGACAGAGACAGAGACAGAGACAGAGACAGAGACAGAGACAGAGACAGAGACAGAGACAGAGACAGAGACAGAGACAGAGACAGAGACAGAGACAGAGACAGAGACAGAGACAGAGACAGAGACAGAGACAGAGACAGAGACAGAGACAGAGACAGAGACAGAGAGAGATGGTTTTTTTTAGTTACTTGAACGCCAGAGATGGGCGAATGTTCTTAGGTTTCTTTACGTTCATCATGTCTGAATACGAAGGCTGGTCCACGGCGAGTCTTTTTCTTGTATTCGATAAAACGCAATGAGTTTCATGGGCAACCATGATTCGTTTCAATTGATCAAAATGCATGATGAGGGAAGGCAGCTCGGAAATGCATTTTGGAACGTTGAAAGAAAATAGCTCAACCATGACACAGACGTCAATTGTTTCAGGTGACACGAGATACACGGAAACATGGTATCCTTTATCAAAAAAAAAAAAAAAAATTTTAGAAACGCACAGAATTAGTATTTTGACCATGGACTTACCAACAGCTTGTACAGCAATCATGGACTTGACGTTGTTCTTAACGAGCGTGTCCATGCAAAAATTCACTAGCCTTAGGGTGTCTTCATGGGTTATGCGGGTTTGGCAGCGACTTTTGTCGGGCTTAACCTCCACATACCCAGTTGAAAAATGTATCCTTCGTTGCTCTGCTTGGAATATATTGCCGTCGGGTCTTTGTGATTCGGTGTCAGGAAGACAGACGTTCAGCCTAAATTTGGGTGAAGAAATGATCAATAAACAGCACATTCAAAATAGCTTTATGTTTTACTGACCACCTAAAATGCCTATTTTCTTCTGGACGATGGAAAATTGGGCTTAAAACTGGGTCCAAATAAGTTCCGATTAGCTCCGACTCTCCCACGTCATCACCCAATCGTTCTTGATTAGGCAGCTTGTTCAGACTATTAGATGTTTAATTTTAATAAGAAATTCTAAGAATTAATTTTACGTAATAACTCACCAGTTGATGATGATGTCGATTAATTTATCGTCTTCATCACTTGCCTCTTTGGCAATGTCGTTGATAAGCTGCTTAATCTTCCTTCTCTCCGTCCTCACGGAAAGCCCCTAAAAATAGTTCTTATCAATTCTGGAATATACATACACAAACTTGGATTATTAACTTACACGCAAAACAGAAGTTATCTCATTAAATATCTTAGTTTCAAACGTGATTTGGCAGTTTAGGTATTTGTCAAGCAACGTTTCATGCAACATTGTAAGTGTTTCAAGTCCGAAACAGTTGACTTGACTATCAGCATATTCGTTATCTTTCAGCAAGATGACGTTTCGCAATGCTCTAGATAATCGTTGTTAGAATCATATCTTTGTATTGTTGCAAAGGTACTTGAACTTACGCCAGTTGATGAAGGTCAGCATCAACGTGAAAACCAGCTTGTTCTGACCTTTCTTGCGACTGTTGACGATAAAGCTTAAACCGATCTGAAACGTTTATACCACTAAGTATTATGTCATCATCAGGCTGTCTAACTTGATTTTCTTCATCTAGGGCGGCATCATGTTCTTCATCGTTGTTCTATTTAACATAGTTAAAGCAATTAGCACTCTCAAGTTTAGAAATAACATTGGAGATATTCAACAATAGATACTCCAGAAAAAAACTTTAGTTACCTCCAATCTGTCTCTTACTGTGCGACTGACGTTTGTTACAGATGAGCTTAACGTGTTCCAGCCTTCTGCTGCTATATTGCTTTCCGCCTTAGCTTCGGAAAAAAGAGTAAGTAGATCTACATCCACACAAGGCCCTCTCTTTCTTTTGCCCTTGACATTAAAAAAAGCCGTTTTTAGCTTATGCTGTAAATTAGCTTTTGCCACAGCATGCGTTTCAAAGTGCTGTATGAAGCTTTTGACTTCTTCACGGTTTTGGTCGCAGAAACTGACTAGATTGGGATACCTAGTCTCTCGAATGAATTGTTCCATAACTGCAAAGTTTCAAACAAGCTTTTAGTACAACCTGGAGTTAGGGCTAAAAAACACGTAGTATTAAGTACCTTTTACAATGTCTGACATTCTCTCTCTTCCAAGTTTAGTATAAAAAAGAATGAAAAGGGAGATTTAAAGTGGTCAAATGTTTTTTGTTTCATTTTAAACACGCGCATTTGTGGCGTTAGACGGAGTTTTTTTTATGATATGCTAGACACGCGACGCCAAATGACGGTCAAAAAATTATTTTAAAACCAGTCTTTTTTGCGTTCTGACAAGAAAAAAAAAATACGAAATGACTTGCAAAATCATACAAAATGGAAAGATTTCCCTTTACTTGAAGATTATCGTTGAGTAGGTAGTAGGGGGCCATGTATAACTGGCTTCTCTTTGAAGGAAGCTCAATCAATCCAACATGGTGCTAAATGTTTACAGTATTTGTAACAGCGGAAGTTAGCTGCGCTATAACTGTACGAGCCTTGGCCACGTCGTGGTGCCTCATGAATTCGGCCAGTGCCAAAAAAACGGGGGTTATTTTTGGAATGCGTTTGCTCAAAAAGGAATTTTATAACACTAACAGGCCGACAGCGAAGAGAAATAAGGAAGTAGCCAAGGTAAATAAGTAAGAGAAAAAAAGAATGATAAGTTGATTTAGTGAAGAACAAAAAATTGACTTATTTCTCGTAATTAGTGGTGAACGTCAAGTAATGGTTTTCCCGATCAACCTCGTTTTTTGTTCGATGCCTGCTAGAAAAGTAAACATCCAGACATGATAAATAACAGCGATTTCAGAATCATTGAAAAAATTAGCAGCGTTGTCATCAATTGATCTTCGGTATTATCTAAAGAGGCCATTCTTTATTCGGTCGCGACGTATATTTTCTATTGAATCACCATCCAAGGATTCTCTTCCATTAAAAGGTGTCTAATGCTGTACGTTGTCCAAGCTATTAGGAAAGTTAATGAAGTCGACATCACCGGGTCTATCTGGTGGTATCAAGTCAATATCATCTGCAATATCAATAATAGCATTGATAAAAATTGCATTCATACCACCCATTCTTCTTGACTTAATCAGCATGGAGTAAACGCCAATCACTCTCACCGTAAATCCGGCCGAAAACCTCCTCAACAGACCTTACTGCTTTATAATATATGGAACATGAATCAGATAATGCTGTACTAGATGAGATACGCTACGAGAAATATATGATAATTGTGCCAATTCGCAAAATATTTGGTAAAAGTAAGCTTATACCGTAATTCTCCATATTTTAATAATCCCACTTACCGTCCATTTTAGTAATCAAGTCTGGTGTGAGATTCCACTGAGAGGCTAGATAGCAGCCTTTGAGCAAGCCAAGAACATTGTTTTCGACGGAACTGTTTGAGAGGAAACGTACAACCAATGTAGGAACAATATACAGAAGGAAGTCCACTTAATCCACCGCATGTGCATCATCAATATTTTCGAAAACGTTGTCAAAGCTGTCTTGGGAAGACATGAGGACGTGCTTTCGTGATGAAGTTATACAATCCCAAATAATACCCAAACTGTTTCTTGAAATTTAAAATGGATAGTTGACAATTGAAGCGGTTTTATCTGCATTCGTGTAGTAGTACTCTTGATCTTTGGAAATATTTACATGATCAGATCGTATTAATGCTTGCCGTTTCCCGAAAATGTCGATCGCTACCTGAAAAGACTTGGTTGGTGGATGTTTTTTAATCTATAGTAAGTACACTTTATTAGTCTTGAGAAAAGAAAATGTTACTTGATAATACTTACAGGATTTTCAGTTATATAGTCTTGCAGTGGTTTCAAATATATTCCGCAAAATTTATTGTCTGGTTATCTCCCTTTCGATTCACAAAAACGACCACCATATGTACTGCTGTTAGAATTGATGTGGGCCATATCCGCCACAACTGGTGGAATAGCACCAGATGTCAGCAATAAATAGACTTTAAGGCGATAGATTTCGGTAACACCACGCTTAACAACAAGCCCATAGGCTTCCAAATCCTTCAACTCGATGATGATGGGCCACAAGAATGAATCCAGATGAGTAGGTTTTTTAGGACTGGGTAAAATTGCTAGCTCGTTTGTGTATCTAATGCCTATTTTTTAGAAATTGTTAGTTTCAAGACAAGTATATACTTCTACCTGATGCAAAGATCAAGACCAAATATGACAACGTGGATAATTTTCAAAGTAGTCTTACCCTCTTTTGGTTTATAAACTCATCGGTGTAAAGACCAATTGCAGTATCGTCAGGATTGGAGAACATACCTTTCCTTACCAGATCTTTGTAAATTTGTCCATTAAAAGTACCACTCAATAGCGTGTCACTTAATTCTCTGTCAGCTTTGTAACGAAGAAGGCTTCCGGTGTGAGGATCAGCCAACATATTCGAAATAGATCACCTATAGACATCAACTTCATGCTGGCGTTGGGACCTTATGAATTCTGTGCTAGTCTTTTATCGCTTTCGTCACAGTCAACCCATTGCTCTTCCTTATCGTCCAATCCACACAATCTACAGTCTTTGGGACATCTGTCAAATTCTTGACCTTAAACACTGAATTTAGATTGGACCAAATCATCAACAACTTCACCATAGCTAATCTTAGCTTCGGGTTCTGAATGCAATATAAATTCGATGTTAGGGGATTCAAGTATTAAGACGGTACGTTTATTTTTATTACCTATCACTATTTCGTCGTGTTTCGAATAATTGCATTAACAAAACTGACGATGTCTCTGTAGACAGCTTTGGCAATCTTGCGTTGTAACATCTATTAGGAAAGATGGAAGCTCTTTAATTAAGCTTCCGTGAATGAATCGGATTCGAATCTACTGGCAAGACATATGCGAGCTATTGCCTTCTTCTTCCTCAAAGCTACATTCACATTTACAGTTAATTTGGTCATCCACAGCAATCCTGCCTGCGGGGGATCTTAAAATTACCTTGTAAGTTGATTTTATTTTGTTCATGCATAATCAAAGTATCAGTGCTCAAATACTACCAATTAGCCCGAACCGGAAATTCAGAAGAATATGCTGCGTCATTTTTTTTTTTTTAATTTTTTTTTTTTTATTTTTATTTTTATTTTTATTTTTATTTTTATTTTTTCTTCAAGTTGAGGAATCCTGCATTGGTGGTGAACAACCTCTTTGTACGGTAGCATGTAAGCATCCGTTTCTGCGTCCTCTTCTTCCTTTTTATTTTTATTTCTTCAAGTTGAGGAATCCTGCATTGGTGGTGAACAACCTCTTTGTACGGTAGCATGTAAGCATCCGTTTCTGCGACCTCTTCTTCCTTTTTTTTTTATTTCTTCAAGTTGAGGAATCCTGCATTGGTGGTGAACAACCTCTTTGTACGGTAGCATGTAAGCATCCGTTTCTGCGTCCTCTTCTTCCTTTTTATTTTTTCTTCTTCAAGTTGAGGAATCCTGCATTGGTGGTGAACAACCTCTTTGTACGGTAGCATGTAAGCATCCGTTTCTGCGTCCTCTTCTTCCTTTTTTTTTTATTTCTTCAAGTTGAGGAATCCTGCATTGGTGGTGAACAACCTCTTTGTACGGTAGCATGTAAGCATCCGTTTCTGCGTCCTCTTCTTCCTTTTTATTTTTTCTTCTTCAAGTTGAGGAATCCTGCATTGGTGGTGAACAACCTCTTTGTATGGTAGCATGTAAGCATCCGTTTCTGCGTCCTCTTCTTCCTTTTATTTTTTCTTCTTCAAGTTGAGGAATCCTGCATTGGTGGTGAACAACCTCTTTGTACGGTAGCATGTAAGCATCCGTTTCTGCGTCCTCTTCTTACCTTTTTATTTTTTTTTCTTCAAGTTGAGGAATCCTGCATTGGTGGTGAACAACCTCTTTGTACGGTAGCATGTAAGCATCCGTTTCTGCGTCCTCTTCTTCCTTTTTATTTTTTCTTCTTCAAGTTGAGGAATCCTGCATTGGTGGTGAACAACCTCTTTGTACGGTAGCATGTAAGCATCCGTTTCTGCGTCCTCTTCTTCCTCTTTATTTTTTTTTCTTCAAGTTGAGGAATCCTGCATTGGTGGTGAACAACCTCTTTGTACGGTAGCATGTAAGCATCCGTTTCTGCGTCCTCTTCTTCCTCTTTATTTTTTTTTCTTCAAGTTGAGGAATCCTGCATTGGTGGTGAACAACCTCTTTGTACGGTAGCATGTAAGCATCCGTTTCTGCGTCCTCTTCTTCCTTTTTATTTTTTTTTTCTTCAAGTTGAGGAATCCTGCATTGGTGGTGAACAACCTCTTTGTACGGTAGCATGTAAGCATCCGTTTCTGCGTCCTCTTCTTCCTTTTTATTTTTTTTTTCTTCAAGTTGAGGAATCCTGCATTGGTGGTGAACAACCTCTTTGTACGGTAGCATGTAAGCATCCGTTTCTGCGTCCTCTTCTTCCTTTTTATTTTTTCTTCTTCAAGTTGAGGAATCCTGCATTGGTGGTGAACAACCTCTTTGTACGGTAGCATGTAAGCATCCGTTTCTGCGTCCTCTTCTTCCCTTTTTTTTTTTTTTTCTTCAAGTTGAGGAATCCTGCATTGGTGGTGAACAACCTCTTTGTACGGTAGCATGTAAGCATCCGTTTCTGCGTCCTCTTCTTCCTTTTTATTTTTATTTCTTCAAGTTGAGGAATCCTGCATTGGTGGTGAACAACCTCTTTGTACGGTAGCATGTAAGCATCCGTTTCTGCGTCCTCTTCTTCCTTTTTATTTTTTCTTCTTCAAGTTGAGGAATCCTGCATTGGTGGTGAACAACCTCTTTGTACGGTAGCATGTAAGCATCCGTTTCTGCGTCCTCTTCTTCCTTTTTATTTTTTTTTTCTTCAAGTTGAGGAATCCTGCATTGGTGGTGAACAACCTCTTTGTACGGTAGCATGTAAGCATCCGTTTCTGCGTCCTCTTCTTACCTTTTTATTTTTTTTTCTTCAAGTTGAGGAATCCTGCATTGGTGGTGAACAACCTCTTTGTACGGTAGCATGTAAGCATCCGTTTCTGCGTCCTCTTCTTCCTTTTTATTTTTTCTTCTTCAAGTTGAGGAATCCTGCATTGGTGGTGAACAACCTCTTTGTATGGTAGCATGTAAGCATCCGTTTCTGCGTCCTCTTCTTCCTTTTTATTTTTTCTTCTTCAAGTTGAGGAATCCTGCATTGGTGGTGAACAACCTCTTTGTATGGTAGCATGTAAGCATCCGTTTCTGCGTCCTCTTCTTCCTTTTTTTTTTATTTCTTCAAGTTGAGGAATCCTGCATTGGTGGTGAACAACCTCTTTGTACGGTAGCATGTAAGCATCCGTTTCTGCGTCCTCTTCTTCCTTTTTATTTTTTCTTCTTCAAGTTGAGGAATCCTGCATTGGTGGTGAACAACCTCTTTGTACGGTAGCATGTAAGCATCCGTTTCTGCGTCCTCTTCTTCCTTTTTATTTTTTCTTCTTCAAGTTGAGGAATCCTGCATTGGTGGTGAACAACCTCTTTGTACGGTAGCATGTAAGCATCCGTTTCTGCGACCTCTTCTTCCTTTTTTTTTTATTTCTTCAAGTTGAGGAATCCTGCATTGGTGGTGAACAACCTCTTTGTACGGTAGCATGTAAGCATCCGTTTCTGCGTCCTCTTCTTCCTTTTTATTTTTTCTTCTTCAAGTTGAGGAATCCTGCATTGGTGGTGAACAACCTCTTTGTACGGTAGCATGTAAGCATCCGTTTCTGCGTCCTCTTCTTCACTTTTTATTTTTTCTTCTTCAAGTTGAGGAATCCTGCATTGGTGGTGAACAACCTCTTTGTACGGTAGCATGTAAGCATCCGTTTCTGCGTCCTCTTCTTCCTTTTTATTTTTTTTTTCTTCAAGTTGAGGAATCCTGCATTGGTGGTGAACAACCTCTTTGTACGGTAGCATGTAAGCATCCGTTTCTGCGTCCTCTTCTTACCTTTTTTGTTTCAATTTTTTCTTCAAGATGAGGAATCTGCCATTGTAAGCAATCGTTCATGCAGCGATGTCGAAGTAATTTACCACTGTGTTGCGCTGGCCTCCTGTCTCGGCACTATGCAAGCATCTGTTCTGGGTTTTTATCTGAAAGTTTGTATTATAACGTTTTTTACGAAACTACTATTTTTAACGAACTTCTAACTCGAGTGGTTACTTTTTTTTTTTAGCTGGATCTCTTGGAAATCCTTAAGCTCCTAATTACCTCATTTTTCTCCTGATATCAACTTGACTCACTACTATAGCCCTTTGCATTCTTCCGCTTAATGAAATCTTCATAGTTTAGATAGTGTCTCCGTCGTGAAGTTCCAATAAAGATTATGATACCAAGATGATCTTACAATAGCGGATAGCTCTTATCATGTAATTAACTGTCTTTGTATATTCGACTAAACGATACTATTGTGATTGCATCCATGACATGTTTCAATCACACATACATAGTTGAAAGTTAAGTACAATACAACGCGAATAACCGGCCAGTTAACACGGGTCCGATCATTCACAAGGATTTACTCATATTTCAAAACAACAAGATCTGATTACCGCGTATTACAGCCTTATAATGGTACACATTTTTAAAAGGTTTTGCTTCGGACCTGACATTTGCTGTAGCCACAAACATTCTACTTTTTTTGTTTTGCTCTAGCCCTATTTAAACTTATCCTTATACATAGCGGTTTGTTTGTTTAAATCAGTACAAATATCTACTTTTTATTCACCCACGCACGGAACGAAATTTCGTTCAGCTCATTTTCTGGAGCTACTTTTTAGAGATACTTTTACAATGGATTACAATATATTCAAAAATGAGAAAGAAGGTGCAATAAATGAGCAGGGAAATGAGATTGTCAAAATGTTAATGGACGTCGATTACGAAACTTCCCTCCCTGAAAAAATGCTACTGCATACGATCAGTATGTTAATGTCAACCCAACCGAGAAAGAGCAGAGGCAGGTAAAAAAAAAAGGAGTTTGTGGATGAGGATCCTACCAGCACCGATCTTGAAATGCCTATTCGAAAGACAAATAGACGTTATAAAGACGAAGATATAGAAAAGTATTTTTGTTATTAAACCCAGTCAGATATGTCCATCCGAGCAGTTGCTAAGAAGTTAAATATACCTCCTTCGACAGCATAAACCTCAGTAACACACAATGAAAAAGATCCCCAAGATATAAACAACCACTGCGTTATTCTGAAAGTTGGGATTTATCCCGGAGGTCGACCCAGTAAGTTGGAAGGAGATCAAACTCATTCACAGCCATTAGCAGTTGTCGTCGTATTTGGGTATGATTTACTTGAGAATAAACAAATAAATCGAATAAATAATAAAAACATGAAATAAAAACATCCTTTAATGCTGAGTAACAGCATACACAACTACTCCTACTATGAGTACATATTCCTATATAAAAAGATTGCATGATTGGCTTAAAATCGATATACGAATGACAGTTGGATACAGAATTCTATACCACTGAGTTACGATATCACCGATCGGGAAGAGAAGCTTCTCCGATCAAATCAAGAATTTTAAGAAAGAGAAACTTAATATTAATAGTTCTCTCAATGGATATAGCTACCCATAGAGAGAATAGAACATCTATTTCTATAAATGGTTCATTTACTTATATATTGATAAACACAACTTATACAACTGTAAGTGTATAAGAGAAGTAGTGCATGAAATATTTGGATGCCTATTTTCAAAAACTAAATATACAAACATCGATATGATGTTCTATATCTAGGATCACATGTTTAACCATGTCTTAGATAAAAATAATCAACAGAATGGATAAATGATCACACATAACTACATGTTCTACCACAGCCAATTAAACGTAAAAACCTTATGCATCTTTTAACAAGCTACCTTTACACAATATCTTACTGGTATTCTGTATTTTTAAACAGAACAATAAGAGTGTTGATTCAGGGCAACGTCACTTGAAATCAATTCTAACGAGTAGAATTCATTTATTGTAAGGCGGGAAACTGAGTATAGATTTATTACAAGACCAGAAAGGTTGACTCAACACATCTACCAGGGGAAGTTATTCAATACAAAAAGGATCAATTATTTTATCGCAGCAGAGTTCTTTTGGTCTATTTTTACCTCCAATAAAGATATACTTTTATCGCATTACTTTCCAATTGTATCAATTTTGTCAAATATCACAGTTGTAACCCAAGGTTATCAGCTTTAAATTACAATAAACCGATTCCCATGGAAACTCCATCAAATGAGGATGTCGCTGAGAAATCAGCAAACAGTGAAGAAGTTTCTAACCGCAGGAATAATTGAGGTGTCACCAACTCAAAACAAATAATTTCTTTCTAATCCATATTCAATTCAAAAACCGAACAAGAGGAAACCAATCCTGGACTGTCAGAAGTTGAATCAGTTCAAACATTGCAACTACTTCAAGATGGGGAGCGTTATTGCCTTCGGGATATAACAGAAAAAAACAATTACATTTGAAAATTGGATATCAAGGATGCTTATTATGGTGTAGTTTCAATCTAGGCTATACTTGGCATTCGAAAACAAGGACGTATTGCATCAGCACGAATCTCTGGTATTTGGATTAAAAGTAGCATCGAAGCTGGTGATATATACAATTGAAACGTTAATGACATTAGGCCAAGAAGGACTGAATTAGTGGCAGGACTTTATGGTGCTAAAGAATGGCCTACCAATTCGCAGAATTCAGGTGAGGAATACAAAGGAGACAATATATGTCAATGCCTCAGACATGTGATTTGTGATAGTTATGGGACAAGAGAATAAAATGAAATAACTTTATTAGTTCTTTTTATAAACTATAAAAAGACAAGAAGGATCCGTCTAGTTATGGTTAATTGCTGTTTTTATTAAGATTATTTTGTGGTTACAATTACAAGGACTTACTGTAAAAAATGATCGTGTGACCTTATTCGATTTCTATAAAGTATGGCTAAATACCACAATACGGAGTAAGTTCACCAACGGTAGCAGCAGCAGGACTTTAAACCCAGAAATAAAAGAAATCCCAATCATCAATTTTAGAGATATACTTTACCCTAAAGTTTTATTTCAACAATCAAAATAGTCTCAGATAGTATGACTGCTTTGAAGTGTACGACAAAAGTCAGGGGGGGGACTACTCCGAGTTCTCTTCAGGAGCTAGCACTGAGGATCAAAGGCATATGTAATAAGTACAAGTGGGAGGTGCAATACCAGCAAATTCTAGGGGTTTTGAATGTAGTAGCAGACAGGTTGAGTAAACTGGGGATCCCGTTGTACGAGTCTACAATTCTGACGGAAATGCTTCGACAAATTCAACAACAATGGATCAGTAAAGATCGATGCCTTCGCTCCACACCAAAACTGATAGGTCAAGATATATTGGAGCTTAACCCCGGATCCAACAGCAGAAGCAGGGGATGTGTTTTCTTCGCATGGTTAAAGAAGTGTATATACTTTAATCCGTCATGGAAGTTAAAGTAAGAGAAGGTAACAGAAGCAGTATTGGTTGTTGTGATCGAGCTTTATATATTCATGCAACTTGATCTACATAGCATATTTTATCCATTACGATAAATTTTATAGACACTTCTTTTAATGTTGCATATTAAATATTCACGATTTACTTAACAAACTGGCATGATATTCATCAAGCTAAATACAAGTACAAAAGTATACATTTATTATACGATTATTACAAAAAGACGTTATCAATATGTTGTACCAACCAGATTATCGGAGGCAAATGACAAGTGAGGTTTGAAAGTATAAACACGAGAAGTTTTTAAATATACTTTAATGACTTTTTAATGTAAGCGTCAAGTAACACTACAAACCCTTTACGAAAACGTGTATCACTCTCCCTTCTATTAAATAACCCTCATTGGATTAATTACTTTTGATATATGGCGTGTTAGTCATAATCTTGCCTGTCATCTAGCCCTGTCTAAGAAGGAAGTCGAATTCAATATGTAAATATAAAGGACCCCTAAATTTTATGTTAATAAAAGTTCAGTTAATTTATGCAATCTGGTTAATCTTACTTGTCATTTTCTTAAATTATACCGTCGATTTATCACTGGTGACACGGTATTAGCCAAACCAGTTTTGGCCTCCCATGATTCTAAACCTACGTCAGTGAGCACCTCCGATAATCATGTGGAAGAGCAAGAAATGAAATTAGCCGCTCGGCTAATATCAGCAAATTGAGACAAAAAATCAGGACTGAAGAGTGGAACAGCCAAAATTTTAGAAAGGCGATTAGACCTACAACTCACAAGGCATGTTATAACGGTTGGAAACGGTGGTATAAGTGGTGTAAGACTAAGGACAGAGGTCTTGAAGAATAAAATGTCAATAGCGTACACACCCAGAGGATTTGGTTGCGGGTTTATTTGTAAACATCATGGATCAAAATATTTCCTTTCTGATAAATAAAGGGATGGGAGCCGGGGGTGTTGGAGGGTTTATTAAGTGGTCTATTGGGGGGGGGTTTAAAAAGCATTGAAAAAGCGTATTATGTGATATCAAAATAATGAAATTTTATTAGATTAAAAATGTGATAAAAAACAATTGCTTTGAATGAAAACATCCTGTAGCGCGATAAAAGTGAAGGCATAAAACAAAAAAGCGGAAAAGACTATCGTTAAAAAGTATATTAGAAAATAATATAAAATATAGTTTCAAAAAAAAGCACATACCTTATCATTCCAAAAGTGATAGAAACAACTACTAAAATAGGTTGGTGTTAGAGGCTATAGTGTGATATGAAAACTATAAGATAAATATATTACCTTACTATGAATTGCAACTGTTTGAAAAAGGGGAAACGTGTTAAAAGGTTTATGAATAATATCATTTCCAAGAAAGTGAGTGAATATTATTACCTTAACGAAACACTCAAAAACGTCGAAATATTCATTTCATGACATAAAACGACAAGAATAATTAATAATGGTGCATTTTCTTTGTATCCATTGATTACATTACCTTGCTTATCTGCAAATAAAGTATAATTTGATTACCTTGGATACATGTATCGCTTTTTAAAGAGAAATTAAAGAGAAAGAAGAGGATACGTTTTTCCTTTTTTTTTGGGGGGGGGGGGAGGGTTTATGTTTCGGCCTTTCGTTACACTGCAGATCGTAAAAGATTGAAATGAATAAAAAACGAAAGTTTGTTTTTCGATTCTTTCATTTACATATCAAACACTTATACCTACATTATTGACTATGTCTCAATCTGTCTTTCCGGTCAATTCTAGTGTTTCTTTCTGTAGGGGTTGTAAGGTCAATTATTCAACGCCTAGCAATCTTTCTCGCCACCAAAGAGATGTCCATAATCGCGGCAGGAGTCAATATGATGACTAAGAGTGAACACAGAAACAGAGGCAGCTTCTGTAAAAATAAATATACTAACTGTATCGCCATTGTCAGCGCTTCTAAAAATAGTTATCCACAAATAGTTGAAGAACCTGATGAAGGTAGCCATTATTTTGACAGTTGTGATGAGGATTTCGACGATATATACGAATTTCCGTTGGACATTGACATTAGCCTGCTTCTGAGTTTAACAACGAAGAAATGGATAGTTCCAATGCTACTCCAGGTATATCAGTCTTTGATTCAAATTCGTTCTATCCATTCAAAAACGAAATGGGAATGAAAACATTGTTATTTTTCAAAGGTTCACAGGACAGATTTTCAAACAGAGTGATACAAACGACCATGCGCCTGGTACACGATTTAATTAATATTTCCCACCAAGAAAGAGATTTAGGTCAGCCAAGGCCAGAGGGTTAAAACCCTCTTCGTAACGCTCCCAATGATGATCGTATTTGTAAAAGTCCCGACCTCCAACAAAAATTCCTCGACTTGAAGTTGACAAAGCCGAAATTCAAAAAAACAATCGATCTGCAAGTCTTCATTATATAAAGCCATCTAATCATTTGCGATTGGTTATGGCCAATATTCAAAAAGTCAATCTGTTCAAATCTTTGACGGATTTCACACCTGACCCAAGGCTTCATCCAAATCAGGGCTGGGAAATGGAAAGACAACTGTCACTTTCAATCGCCTATGGTCCTAAAAGAAATGTCGAATACCGAAAATGATTTCTGGATCGGTGATGTTGTTAGTGTGCCAATCACCAGCAAAATTACATCCTTAACAGATTCTACAGTGTGGACGATCGGGTTTTTGTCAGTGCATTTCTTATGGAGTTTTTCCCGGACGGTCATTCAGCGGCTATTAGTTCAGAAAAGGTTGTATTCCATTATGCAATATTATGTTCTATATGTCCATTATCCAACTTCTGGGTTTATGTGAACAGCAATTATGCTCCATATTAACTTATAACGATGGTAATGTCTCATATACTCCGTTCAGCCAGTTACTTAGTTTACATTGTACCTTGGTCAATAAAAGCCTTACAATCCGAAACCGAGTACCCCGCATCTCTGCAGATCGACATATGGCAGTCCGTGTACTACCAATCACATTATTTTCTGATGACACCAGCTGCAACAGATCAAAAAAGTGGAACTGCTTCGACAGCTGGATTGTGAACATTGCGACCTTTCCTTTGGACGAAAGTAACAAATACGAAAATTATTTCTGCCTTTGTACCAACAACTACGACGCCACGGCAATGGAAATGGTCAAGCTATTGACTGATAATTTGCTGAAGTTGGAAAAAGGTCTGGTGATGTATGATGCTGAGCGACAAGAGACGTGTTTGTAATCGCACCTGTTCTCTTTTTTCCGCGGAGATAACGTCCGTCAAGCTGAGTTAGCGATGAACAAAGGGTCAAGGGCTAATCACCCTTAGGGATTTTGCTACTGTCAGTCTGACCCTGATAAGCCTTTGACAACAGGTAAGACACCCGTAGCATTGCGGTACACTGCTGATACATACATGGCGGAAAGAAGAACTCTTGAAGACTTTAAGGATTTTGTACATCCGGATAAACCTGTGCGAGCCAGTTTCATTCATCTTCCCAGAGGACGTGTTACGAATCAAGGCGCGATACAAGGTCCAGGAGTATCGAACAATTGGAGTGATTTAGGCTTTAAGATGACAGGAGCTGAGGAATTGCTGCAACTTGAAGCGGTAGATTTATCGAAGGATCTACCCGTAGAAATTCTTCATACATTACTCTTGGGAATGACCAAGTATTGCTTTAAGATTGCTCACAATCATTTTTTAAACGATAGTCAACTCAAAAAGCTTATAGAATTATTCAGAAACTATAATTCGAATGCGTTACATCATAATCTCACTTCTTCTTTGAACGCCTATCGTTCTTACGTTGGTAGAGACCTTAAGATTCTTGTACAGCTTTTTCCTTCGATTTTACAGAAGGCTAACTTCCAGGACCCTAACATGTTTGCTGAAAACTATGCTTCTTTTGTGTCAATGTACCAGTGCTTCAACAATTTGTCATTACTTGCCTCCTTGGTGTACATGGACAAGATTGACAATTTTAATTATTACAAACATATCCTAAATAACACTGTGTCAGAGACAATTAGATCAATGGATAATTTGCACCATACCACTTTTAATAGAAGAACAGTTGCTGAAGGAGGGTAGGCTATTTCGATGATGAAAATTTTATCCTTGTGTAATAGATTGAAGTCTCATCTACTAATTCACTTATCACAGGAAATTGAACGATTTGCTGGTGGCCCTCATATGGAGACGGAGAGATGTGAGCGGCAACATAAGTTTATGGGTGATTTACTATGCCACACAAGCAGACAAAATGGTGGAAGGGATGTTGCTGTAAGATTTGCAGAAGAGTATATGCTTCGCCATATTAGTCTGGGTGGATTGTTTGTTAAGGATACTTCATCCCCAGTTTGGGAATCATGTAGCATGAGTGCCACGCAATCGTTTGATCCTACAATCTTTGAAAGAGAGCTTGAATTGTTGGAAAACAATAACAGTCAAAGAAAATTAGTGGTCGGGCTTGCTGGAGTGTTCCGTAATAGTACCAGTTCCGAAACAAGCGGCCTGACTTTGGGTAAATTAGTGTCACAAGCAAAGGATAAAGGATTCCAGGTTGAAGCGTACAATTTCGTGGCTAATGCAGCAATACCAGAAGATCCACAGACCTGCATTTATGAAAGAGGCCTTGTAGATGCTGCCGAAAATGTTGTAGTCAAGAGATCTTCCGATGACAATTTTACGATTGGCGACCATGACCAAAATGCTATTGAAATAATGCGTCGCAGCGCCCCTGTTTTTAAGCATTAATAAGTCAAAGTTTGGTAGCTATTGGTGGTTGTTGAACACTAACTGGGGCTTAGAAAAACTTGCAAGTCCTTAACGTCCCCTTAATCGTAATCGTTTATGGTATAATTTACAATAAAGAGCAGTTTTTGTTAAAGCAGTGGTTTAAAGAAATGTGACGATCTCAAAAAAAAAAAAAAAAAAAAAATCGATCACAAGGATGCACAAGCTATCCTTAATGAGGAAGTTGGGGGATGTTATGCATTTTTTTTTTTCATGTTTATCACTCCTCCGTTTGTGAGTTAACTCGGAAAGGCAATGGCTCCTCTGGGCGTGGTTGATAAAAGAAAGACAGAAAATGTGATACATGCATGCACGTTTGTTTGAAAAGATCAGTGGTTTAGTATCCCCCCAAGATAATTTATCCCTTTCTTCTTTATATCTTTCTAGTTTAGCTAAACAGCTTCAATTTTGTTTATTAAAAAAATGAAAATAGACTGTAACTCAGAGAGCATGTATTTGTTTTAACTATATGAGTAGCATTGGGTTTTTGCTGACCACCGACGACGAAAAATGGGGGGTCGAAATATGTCTGGATGAGTTCCGACACCAATCGTTCATGATTAGGCAGCTTGTTCAGACTATTAGATGTGATAATTGAATTTTAATAAGAAAATCTGAGAATTAATTTTATGTAATAACTCACCAATTAATGATGATGTCCATAAGTTTATCGACTTTATCACTTGTCTCTTTGGCAATGTCGTTGATCAGCTGCTTAATCTTCCTTCTCTCCGTCTCATGGAATATACATACACAAACTTGGATTATTAACTTAAACGCAAACAGAAGTTATCAGTGTTTCAAGTCCGGAACAGCTGACTTAATTATCGGCGTACTCGTTATCCTTTAACAAGATAACGTTCCACAATGCTCTAAATAAAAGTTGTTAGAATCATATCTTTGTATTGCTGCAAGGGTACTCGAACTTACGCTAGTTGATGAAGATCAGCATCAACGTGAACATAATGAAACACGGTCGGATGATTACATAATGCTTAGTGGCGTAAGCATTTCAGACCGTCTCATGCTTTACCGCCAAGAGTCCCAAGAAAAGTCAAAACAAGCTGGCTTTCATCTAGGACGGCTTGAGAGTCTTCATCATTGAAGACAATGCTTACACCTTCGCGTTTTTTTTTTAGAGTCACATGCTGTATATATATTTTTACAAAAAAATTATATGACTTACAACAATACCGGTCTAGATTATACAGTCTAATCACACCCATTTACAGTCTAACACCTGCCATTTGCAGTTTCTCTATCAAATGAGTACCCAAACCCAAGAACTCAACCTAGCTGACCACTATCCTTTAGAAAATACCAGCCGTATCCGTGAATTGTAATGTATCTTTAAAAAAAAAAAGACAATAATTTAGCACATTTCTTGAGTGATAAAAGTCATTATTTACTAACCTTTTTACAATACAAGACAGAAAAAAAAAATATTAAAGAGAAAGAAAAAAGGATTTTTTTAAAAAAAAAAAGGTGAAGTTATATAGTCGGTGAAATAAGAAAAAGGAAAAATAAAAGTGTGTGAACGAGATTTATTTGTGTACTGATAAAGAACTGGTTTATGTCATGATGATTCAATTAAACGAGTTTTATTTATGGACTGATAAACAAGGGCTGGGCTTATGTCAGAATGATTTAATTGTTTATTTAATCATCCACATGTTTGCAAATACCCCCAAGCTTATATACAAGCAGTTTATAATATTGTTTCAGTAAAAGCATGCAACGGCGAGTGAAGAGGAAAGAGATCAGAGTTAGTCACGCATTTCCCAAAGGAGACCCCTTTACCAAAAGTCGTTATTTGCATTGTCTTCAAATGTACGCTGAACGCCACAATCACTTTCAGGCAGTAAAAGTTACTCAGCTAAATCTATAAATATTTACTTTCGATTAAGGAGAAGAAGGACCTCTACCCCAAGACAAACGTACATTCATGGCTTTAAAATTGATATCAGACTGGTCATTGATATCAATACAGAAGAACTGAATCTTGCATTCATGGTATCAACTCTACAGCAGCTTCCTGCGCATTCTCGACCCGCCGAGACAATTAGTCATGAGAAGTCTGACATAATTGTTTTTATTTATTTATTTACAGTGGTACCCGCCTAATAAATCCACCTCCTTTATCCAAAGAACCTAATGAACCAAGCGACAAAGATACTTATGTTGGTTTACCTGACAAGTTTGGTTGGATTGAATATGTTAAAAAAGACTTTTATAGCTTGTTTAGCAAAGAGAAATCAAGCGAGAATCCTTATGATTGATAAATGACAGAAATAAAAATGTCTTAAAAAGTTCATGTCAAGATAATTATGCACTCTTTCAATAGCTTTTTTTTTTTTTTTAAAAAAAAAAATCGAATTTGAAGCATTTGTCAAAACCCCTTAAAGTTATCATTGGTTTACATAATTCTTTGGGATTCTGCCCACATTTTGGATTATTTTTAACGTCTAAATAAACTTCTTCCTGACCATCCAAAATACCGATCTTAACCCAGACATTTGATAAACTTTGGGGCACTATAAAAGGAAATATGAAAAGCATAGGCCCGAGATCAAAACTTCAAATAATCTAGAGTACTTGTAAAGAATATTTGGAAGGAACTGCCAGACTGCTTTTTGCTTTCAACAACGCTGAATCTATTAGTCTGTCTTTTTTGCACAGTCATTTTGTTAAACATGCTTCACTTACATTGAAAAGAGAAGAAAAACAGTTATAGGGTGGACTAAAAATTGGTGTCTTTCTTGATGAAGCCGGATTTGATATGCATATTAGACGAAATTTTGGCAGGTCCGAAATAGGTACACCTGCGAAACAGATTCTTCCTGCTAATAATGGAATCACAATAACAATTATTGGAGCAATATGTGAGAAATGCATCATTCATTTGGCCTTAAAGAAATCAAAACCTATTTTTATAAGGGATGGTTCAAATAAAAAGAGAAAAAGGAAATAATGGTAAAGCTACTGATGTTATTGATACAAATGCAAGAGTTGGGGCTCACAGTGAGCATTTTCTACCACAGTTCATCTCTGGTGTTATGGATACATTAGATACTCATAATATGGATAACAGATATATCATCATGTACAATGCATCTATTCAAAAAGTGTTTAAAGTATTTGGTCTCATTTTTTCTAGGGGATATGTACCCGTCTATCTACCACCACACTCCCCCCTTCCTAAATCCGACTGAACTACTTTGGCCAAAGCTAAAAGCTGGCGTAAAAATAGACTACCTTTCTTTTACTGGTAACCTCACTGAATCAGAAAAAAAATATACCTGATGATTGCTGTAGCTGGATCAAGTATTCTAATTCTTCTTTTGACAGATGCTTAAACCTTGAGCCTATGCTCTAAACATCACTTGATAGAGATTGTCGCGCAAATTTTTTAAAAAAAGGGCGCAAAATAAAAATTAAAAGCACGCAAATTGAGCAATACATGACACGCAAAAAAACCGAAAATCCAAATATGTGATATGTGATAGGGGGGATGATAGCCATCACGTCTGGAAATAGAAATAAATCCAAGTCGCGGTGTATCAGGTGCTGAGGCAGCTTTTTTTATATGTGAGAGAGTGATCACCTCCCTAAAGAGGGATGTACAATTTAATTAATAATAATAATTTATGTTTAGACAAGAAAAAAAGCTAAATCCATGTCAATACCTATAAATACCAAAGCTTTAAATATAGAAGCGTTAAGCACATAAAAAAACACGTAAGATTCAGGGTTTGATTTAAAATATGAAAACTCAGATGGTTATTTATCCTCGAGTCATGATGCTTTTTAAAAGCGTTTTTCTCGGAAAATACGCATTGCAGTGTAACTTGCTTAAAAAGAACCATTTAATTCTGACAACGTGGAAGCCGTTTTTGGTGCAGAGAAAAAAAAAAGTGACCTTTTTTTATTTTAAATAAGTGGGATTCTTTTTTTTTATTATTTGTTTACACAGTTCTCTTTCTTCTTTTGTTTCCCTCAGCAATGTCTACTAATATCAGAGAAAGAAAGGCATATTTTCAGCTGGACCAAGGGTCAGCACCCAATCAATTAAATTACAGCACAAACTTTATGAGTTACAAAGGTATAACAGAGTGTAATATGTATGTGTGAATACAAAGGTATTAAATGGGCGTGAATTAGGTGCATGGCTATCGACAGTTCTAATCGTGATTGCTATTAAAATTTCGTACTCGCTCATTCCCTTCATTTCGTCAGAGACCAGCTGGACATTAACGAACTTAACGTTCAACATTGTAAGTAGCTATGCGGTAGTCAATATAGAGAAAGAGTGGTGTGGTAACAATTACCTAGGGACACTTTGTAATGTTTCATTGGTTACAAGGAACACCTATTGATAACAATCAAGGAGCATATGACGGATTAACGGTTTGGGAACAAATTGATGATGGAGTACAATTCACAGCGACCAGAAAATTTCTCATGGCCGTGCCTATAATATTGTAAAGTTTAAATGCTGCGTATATCCATGTTTATAATACTGATATTTCTATTAATAGATTTCTGTTGAGTACGCATTATACACACTACGATTTCTTACAATTCGCCATCAACTTTTGCTCACTTGTGATTGTCCTGATTGCAAAGTTACCAGAAATGCATCAAGTTAGAGTATTTGGTATCAATAAGCGTACAGAAGAAGAATTTTAGAAAAACATCATTTATACCCCCACACTCCTCTTTCCATCTTGTAACAAACCCCCCTTTCTCTTTTTGCTTTTATAAATAAAATCAAGTAATAAGATCACCGTGACTGTCGCCCTGTTTGGCCTCGAATAAAAATAAAAAAAAAAATGTCAAAATATAAAATATTTACTTGTTTATCATGTTGTACGTTGTTGGTCTTGGTTTAGGTGACGAAAAGGATATCACCGTTAAGGGTTTAGAAGCCGTCAAGAGCTCTGACCGTGTTTATTTGGAAGCCTATACCTCTATTTTGACAATTGGTAAAGAAAAGCTGGAAGAATACTATGGCAAAGAGGTTGTCATTGCAGATCGTGAAATGGTTGAATCTGAGAGTGATGTTATTCTTGCTGATGCTGACAAGGTTGATGTCTCCTTCTTGGTTGTTGGCGATCCTTATGGGTAAAACAGATTCTTAAAAAAAATACTAATATAATGACATATTAAACGCTTTCATATAGTGCCACCACTCACACTGATCTTGTTATCCGTGCCCGTGAATTAAACATCCCTGTCAAAGTTATCCACAACGCATCTATTATGAATGCTATTGGTGCTTGTGGTCTTCAACTTTATAACTTTGGTCAAACCATTTCAATTGTTTTCTTTACAGAGACCTGGCGTCCTGATAGTTTTTATGATCGTGTCAAGGAAAACCATCAAATTGGTCTTCACACCTTGTGTTTGTTAGATATCAAAGTCAAGGAACAAAGTATTGAAAACATGGCTAGGTAAGAAACAAAATAGAAGAAAAAAAAAGGGATCCCAAGACTGATATGTTTGGGTCTACAGAGGTCGTTTGATCTACGAGCCTCCTCGTTACATGACTGTCAATGAAGCTGTCGAACAATTATTAGAGATTGAAGAGAAGCGTGGTGAAGGTATTTGTAAGCCAGATTCATTAGCCATTGGTTGTGCTAGAATTGGTACAGACACCCAAAAGATTGTTGCTGGTACTTTAGAAGAATTAGTCGATGTTGATTTTGGCGGACCTCTTCATTCTCTTGTCTTGATCGGTTCTCGCATGCATGAAATGGAAGCTGAATTCGTAAAGGAATACGCTCACAATATCGATACCTTTAATACACTTGTGAAGAGGGATTACGTTCATTAAATACATGTCTTACTCAACGTCATTGATACGAAAATCAACGAGGAGATTTAATTATTGAATAAAAAAGGATTGTTTTTTTCTTACATACAGTTTTTCACTTCTTACTTTATATAAACAATGGCGAAGAACACAGCATCCCAAAAGGCAGACGAGATTGAATCCAAAATTGATAGTGGTGCCAGTGAGTTACAGGGTAAAGTTAGAGAAGGTGCCAAAAAGGTCGACGAGGTATTAGAAAATGAAGATGTCAAAAGAGCTACTAAGCGCGCAGAAGATGAAGTCAACAGATTAAAGGCCGAATTAGCTGAATTCCAAAGAAAGGCCGGACCCAAACTTCAAGAAGCTGAGCACTTCTTATGTTCCCCTACTGCCATCACTTTCTACAAAGGCCTCGTTACAGGTGTCGCTCTGGTTTTAGCATATAAAAAATATGCCGAAAAAAGATTTTAATAAAAAACTCGATTAAATTGACTTTAAATTGATTGCAGTAATTAAATTATTAAATAGTTCATTTGCATTTCTTCCACTGTATTCTAATCGGACCGTCTGGAGAACACTTACAATGACTTCAGCTAAAGTTTTGTCCCCGTCTTGTCCAACAAGATAACCCAATGCATCCTTCAATATATGAATTGTAGCGTCTTGATCTTGGGGGTATTCATTTAGATATTTCAGACATTTGTGGATCGACACATCATCATCTATGAAAAAAGCTTAGTATCACTCGCAGATAGTTGCAGTTCACAACACTCACTGTCAAAGTATCTAGGTAAAATAAAGTGTAATAGACTCATTTTGGCTTGCTTGTATAATCCACCTTTCAATAAAATTCTGTACTCTTCATCGAAATCCCAATCATCATGTGCATTCAAAGCTTTGGCAAAACAGATAATTTTGCTGGGAATATGGTACTCATTTAGCAATTTACTTTCATTATTCCACTCACATTGCCGTAAAATTTGGTTGAATTTCTCCACTGGCCTATATAAAGTCTAAGTATTATTTCATATATCAAACACCTGTTTTTACCTTTTCAAAAACAATGCAGCATAAATCGCCGATTCGGATTGATCAATTTTTTCCAAATTTTCAATCCATTTCATTGCATATAAATCACTAATTTCGCCTGATGGTTTATATACAGTTAACAACCAAACCAAATCTAATGGCCAGCTATCCAATTTTGCTATTCCTTTATCTCCTAACCACCATTGAAATAACTGGTACCATAAACAAGATACATCAGGCGCTGCTGTATTCTTGACGGTTGTAAGATGATGGATGTTGACAATAGAGCTGTCAATAGCAGTATTGTATTTCTGAAGCGAAGGCACATCGCCAAACCTGTTTCCGTACCATATATACATACCCAAACAACATTGCCATGATACTCTTTCCGTCACAGTAAATCCGTCTTCCTCTGAGTAATCCAATTTACCAGAAATCGTACGCCAAGAGCGCTTATGGAAAGGTGTCATATTTTGCCATTTGCCTTGTGTTTGAAGTGTCTTGATATGATCCTGTACTGTCTCTCTTACATCTTTAAGTCCCGAATGAGTAATATACATGGATAACTGAAAATCTTCCAGGCGCTTTGCTTCTTGACAAGCTAAATCACGTTGACCAAAGGACAAGTAGGTAAATGTGGTGACAAATGGGTCATCGTGTTGTTTCAAGTTGATTTCTAATTGAGTCTCTAAACCAGGTAAGACAAGGTTGCGGATCCAGCTTTGACTATTGCTTTGAAACAATGCAACAGCTAAAGCCCATATTAATTGAATGTCCACTGAGTATTCTTTTAATAAGGGTGTGTTGTAAGCTGAGAAGTCCGTATCTGGCTTTAATCGTGCTGTAGGTATGTTTTCCGCATTGCTGATCAACTCGCTCTGCTTTTGAAATATTGTCATGACCTGCTTTGATCTCTACAAACGATAAGTTAAGGTAAAAAAAAAGGAGAGAGAGGAAGGGCGAATCCAAGGTATCGTACCAATTCTAACAATTTATATTTTGAATCGACAATGGGACTATAAAAATAATTAGTTTCAATCTTTATAGCTTCAAATTAAGTATTCCTACGTTTGCATCATGAGAGCACTTGGATGACTACGTTTTCTACCTGACAGCATTTTTGACAAATAAAAGAAAAGTGTGGAAAAAAGGGGGGACACCCCGCGTCACTTTTGCTTCCACTGTTTCAAACAAGAAAAAAAAGTGACTGTTCCCAAAAATAATCATGCAAGCAGTGATGGTCAATACACGTTCGGGATGGCATTATTTAGGAAACATAATGACGTATTGTAAACGTGGTAAAAGGCTATGACCTCTCCTCTTGCATTGACTTTTGCGTAACTTTTGTACGCTAAAATCTGGCGGAATTACACTGTACTGACGCACTTGAAGAAGCGCCCAATAGAATCATGAATCCCAGAGACAATGCTTTGACAGTCATGAAAAAAAAAAGTATATAAAACAACTGTTTTAACAACATGAAAAAGTCTTTTATCGCAACTAAAATGGAGAAACTAGCTAAAGTGGATAGAATCGATAAACTAAAGCAGCATTCAGTGACATTCATTAGTAAGTTTTGCACATTGCAAAAGACATTCAGACTAAAGTATTTGCAGAAAGGTGCTTTATAGTGCTGTCAGTGCTGACAGCATTTCTGATACTTTCGTACATTCCAACTTACAAAAAATATGGATTTAGTATCAATGTAAGGAGCAAACAAATAAGAAAAGTGGCAAGAAGATTAATGTATAAGGCAGGGTAAATTACATCACTCTTACTTGGATTATCCCAATGAGATTTCGAGTAAAGAGGCTATTGAGCTATCAGAATTTATGGAATCCCTTGACATTTTATGGAACCATGATAAAAAGATATATTACCCTTTCGATATGGAGGCTGACGGAAATGACAAATACTGGATCAGGCAGATCGATGTGAAGGATAGATTTAAACGGGACAAGGTAATTCATGATATTGCTACGGACTTGGGAATAGGAGAAAAGTTCCCTCTTGTCCAAGCGAACACAGTGACTGAAAAGATCAAGGACGATATCAAGAAAAAGATTGCATTCCCTCCCGAGTATCTTAAAATGAAACATCCACCAAGACCCCATGTGCCACAATGTGATGTCACAAAATTACTTGATCATAAAACCACTATTCTATCCTATTCTTTATCGCAGTTCAGAAGTACAAGTATCAAATTAGATGGACTCTTCAATGACGGTGGACGGATCAATATAAGAACGACTACCTCTGCTGAAGACGTTGAACAAGGAAATTATAATAATAACATTAAGCTAAACTTGACATTGTTTGCTCAATCCGACGATCTCTTCAAACACGTTTCCGTAGCCCAAATAGAAAACCATGATTCAACGTCAAAAACTGTTCACATCAATAGTCACCACCATTTAGGATCATGTCTAGTGTATAATCTAGATATCATATTCCCATCAACACTTGCTTCTTACAAGGACTTTAACTTGATTGCAAATCATGCAACTAAAATTAGCGGCGATTTAAATTCCATTGTTTTTAAGAAATTCAGAGTTGGTGTTGGAAGAGGTGCTATCGACTTAAAGGTAACCATATATCTCATAGAAATGCAGAGGTAATTAATCAGTATTAAAAAAAGGATGTCAAAAGCGAAGAAATTATGGTGGGTACATTGAATGGCATTGTACTCGGTAGCTACCAACCTACGCAAAAGTTAGGCATCGCAGCCGTCGAGGGTGCTACCATGGTTGAAATATTGCCCAGATCAAAGAATTTAAAATCAACCGTTGTAACTTTAAATGGACCTGTCAAAGCAATTATTTCTGATGGCTTAAGTAAGAGCAGTAGGTTCATAACGCATTGTTGGTTCTGCCAACCTTCAGTAGAGTCAAAAAACCCAGAACAGGTCCATGTTACTTCATCAAGACGAAAAATGATTAAAATCGGTTACTTTAATCAAACTTCAAATGCTCATATAAATGTTCATTCAAGACACGGAGAGTCTAAATTAGTATACAATTAAATAGTAATAAATGTCTATATTATACTACACCAAGGATATATGTTTTACGCTCTTCTTAGAATAGCCAAAGTGCATGTACTGCTGATAATAGACAATTTACCCTGTTTTATACCTGTGGCTATCCTGAAAAATATGGCCTACTGATATAGTTGGAAGCATACAAGAACGACCATAAAGCTACATTTTATGAAGTTTGGGATGAAACGACATACCACTGGGTTCAGCAGGTCCTGAATATTAGCAGCGAGGACTTCACGGCGCAGAAATGTAAAACGAAGAATATGATATCCTGTCTTTCATTACACAATGTTCTTGATAGAAGATTATGGGCTAACATGGAGCGCATCTGCAACAGCTTAAATGCATTTAAAACTCGTTTTCTTGGGCATAAACAGGTTCAAATGTTCAATTTAAGAACATTTTTGACAGATTCTTACGCTGAAAGAATACCCATTGAAGAATGATTTAGACCGATCTATCAAGCAAATCGGAAAGTGTTCATTCTTCTTTTCATGTAAAGCTTGGTTATAAAATATATCGTAATAGACATAGCTCATTTTAAGATGCTACTATTCAGGGTCCAGAGGGAGCCCAGAAGTGTGACAAGATTATTTTAAGAAGGTGACTCACCAGACAGAAACGAAAGAACAACTCATGCCATTAATCAAATATTCGATTCTGATGCTATCAGGGCTGATCTTAATACGTAAACATACAACTTTTTATTTTTATAAGCCATGCCAACTTTTGTTTCTTCTAGTCATACAAGACGTATATTTACAAATATGTTTTCTACGTACAGATGATTATATCATTAATTTTATTATGGCTCGCTCAATTCCTACTACGGTTGGTCTTTCATATAATACTGTGAACATTCCGGTTGGGGGTGTTCCTTTGTTCGGCATACTGCAGTGTTATCATCCTTGTACTACCTTATGGCAAAGAGACGTTAATGCATCAAGAATTATTTAGCATTTCTCGGAGAAATATCTAATTTGGAAACCGAATATTAAAAGTTCACTGACGCTTTCATTGTAAGTTAGCTCTGTAGATGACTTCCTTTTAGGTGTGTAGTCTTTTAGGTTGTGTGCTTAAAACATCTCTAAGTCATTTGCAACAATATGCATGAGGCAAATCATAAACCATGTGATAAGCAGAGTTAAATGTGTTATTAAAAGCAACAAGGTCATTGCTAGACTTTGTCTCGTCCCAATGAAAAAAACCCCCTTATTACCAAAAAAAAAAAAAAAGGGATCTTCATTGCAAAAACTTTACATGTAGAATCATAAGGGCTGAGTCAATCTTAATTATTTTTCTGCATCTTGGATGGATCAAGTGGTAAACTTTAAAGTGAAAAAGGCGCTGTGATTCCAGAAGCGAGATCCGGAGCAAACGAGAAACTTATTCAATGACTGCAACAAACCGACAGTATCACAAGGCACTCCGTAACATCTGAGATGAAGGCTAATATCTTTGTGCTACAACTAAATAGTGTTTTTTTGTGTCTTAACCCATTCACTATTTTCTTTAAATTCCTTTTCATGCCCATTTTTCAGAGCCATTGAAAATATATGCTTGACCTAGAAAAGTGGTGGAGATTACCTTGAGTGGTATTCGTTAGCTATTCCAAACTTAGATTAGGATTAGAGTTTGTGTGTACTATTTTTATTTGAGCGGCGTAACGTTAAAAATCTTATGCGTAAAGTGGTTGGGGATTTTCTTTTAAGTTTTATGTAGTAGAATAACGTATTCAAAGTACGTAATTCGAAATTGATTTTAATCAACTTAATTCTAACAAGAAAAAATCGCGAATGATCGTGACATGCCACAGCCTAAAGAGAATTAGAGCATGGCGTGATGTGGTGCAAAATGAAATATTAACATCGGAGGCTTGTTCCGACATCATTCAACTTTATATTAGATTTTACAAGCGGCCGTACCGAGCTTTTTTGGATTATTTACATCTCACAATTTATGGCTATATACATCAAAAGGCAGCAAAAAAAAACAAACAAAAACAATACTGCTCCGGTATTTTCATTGCCACAACAAAGTAAGTTAGTTCAATTCTTCGTTTATTAGGCTTCGCCTAGGATTTGTACTACTTATTGGCTGAGTCGCGGTGACACACGATTTTTTACAACGCCTAGAAGCAACTTATGAACACGATATTATAATTGGCTTTTTTCACTTCTTTCATTGATAACTTTTAAAATATGTCTGATTTACAGTCTATAAAGTATGTTGTTGGAATAGGTTAGTAGCAATATATTACCTACCTGTGCAAATCTAATACCAGTATAAACTTTAGATTTTGGATCTACTGCTTCAGGGGTTTCTATTGCTCATGTAGACGACCCATTTAATATTATTACAGTTTTAACTTGGTATTTAAGAATGTAAAATATCGCTAAAGCCATTGATATTAAGATTTTGATATAGGGAGGACTCGCAGAAACGCTCTCAAAAATTCTATTCGTCAATTTTCTATCCAAACGACGATAACGATCATCCATTGTATGGTATGAAGCGCGAAGACGTCGGCGATAAAGGTGTTTACGTAGATAAAATTGGTCAATACCTTGTGGATTTAAATGCTTCGGATGAGAAACTTAACCAACTGATGAACGGCTTGACTATTAAAAAAGTCGTTACGGATTATTTGAAATACTTTGTTGAACTTGCCCTCCAAAGATTGAAGACTCATGATAAAGTTGTTAAAAATACAAACTTCACAAAATTTATTAGTGAGGATTTTACTGATGAAGACATTGAAACTGTTTGTTATTGCGTCGTTTGTCCAACTTTTCGACAAGAATTTATTGAAGAATGCTTCATCGAGGCAAGAATTATCGAGAAATCTGAAGCTAACCACCGGCTTTCATTTATCACCGAAGCGGTTGCTACTGCTCACCATCAGCTCTCCCTTGAAAGAGGTGTGTCTAAGATTCAAAATGACCAAAAGTATCTTGTTTGTGATGTAGGCGATATCTCTATTGGGTTAGCAAAAATACACGCAGCTACTACTGAATCTCTTAGTGTTGTTACATCAATTTATGACGATCTCACACAAGGCTCAATAAATCTGGAGACGAATTTTAAAAATCATCTGATAGATAATATGGCAGATTTGAATTTGGATAATATATTGATTGATCAATTTGTTGACAAGTTCTTAGAAATAAAGGTAATTTATAAGCATTTACGACTAAAGTCATAAATTACTAATATAATATATGTGCTTTACTAGTATGCATTTACCATGGACACTCCGGACATTGTTGCTATCTCACTCGATAATTCCAATGGGGATACTGTTAATTTTACTTATGCTGATCTCAACCGAATTGTTTTCGAGCCATTTGTCGAAAGCATAACTGATCTCATATCTAACGCGGAAGAAGCTAATAATCAATGCGATTTGTTTCTCTCCGGAAAGTATGGTGCCGATACACACTTTATCGAGAGGCTTACAGCCAAAAATGCGGGAGAGTTGACGTATCACTATCATACTATTGATGATAAACTTGAGAAGGTTTCCTCGGGCGCTGTCTCTTCAATTTTAAACACCTGCAAATCCCAAACACCCTTCTTTCTTAATAATGAGCACCGGTTCTTATATCCTGATAAAGAATGGTCATTACCAGAAAAAGATTTGGAGGAATCTACTGATAATAACAATGGAAATGATGCTTATGACTTTATTGTCGGAATTGGTTCGTAAAAGCTAAAAAAAAAAAAAGCCAGGTCGTAATTTAGTTTTTTTTTTTTTAATTGTTACTCTATTTCTTTTAGATTTTGGTACCACTTTTTCTGGGTGTTCTTACGTCCAACTTAAAGATAAGAAAGGCAAACCTATAACTACAGAAAATATTAAGACCATCAAAGAGAATTGGTAATATTAAGTATAAGAGTTTTTAAAACTTTAACAACACTCTAATTGATAATTGTAGGCCAGGAGGCAATCTACTTAAGTTCGGAAAAACCCCAACCTTGTTAATGTACGATAAGAAGATGAAGCCAAAATATTGGGGTGAAGAAGCAAGAATTCAAGCCAAACATCATAAGAACCTCAACCTTCTGGGAAATTTCAAACTGTTTTTATGTCCTGAATCTTTAGAGAACTTTTATGGCCACACTAATGATTTGGAAGAACTAAAAGAACAAGGAGGATTCGGTGATGATGAAGCATCAAAAACTGAAGTTCATGCAGTCAAAGTTATTGCTAGTTACCTCAAGCTTTTCAAAAATCATATCATTGAGCACATCGTTTCGAAAGAAATGGACGAAAGCTTCAGCTATTTTACCAGGTCAAAGCTTTTGAAAAAATACAAGATGCGATATGTGATTACTGTACCTGCTATGTGGAATTCATCGGCCCGTGATACCATGGCACAAGCTGCAATCGAAGCCTCGATAATTAAAAAAAACGAAATTAACCAGCTTCTTATAATCAGTGAACCCGAGGCAGCAGCATTGTTCTGTGAGAAGAGATTCACCAAATATTTTAAAAAGGTAGAAGAGACAATGGACAATACGAACTTTATTGTATGTGATGCTGGTGGAGGTACTGTAGATCTGGTTACTTTTAATTTACAGCTGAACAAGAAAGATGGCGATACACCTACCACAGACCCGATGATTTGTCAAATTGGCGACGGTATTGGTGATACTTGTGGTTCAACGTATCTTGACGTAAGATTTAAAAACTACCTCTTTGAATTTTATAAAAAGTTTGGAGTGAACATAGACAGAGAAAATGTCCCCCTTGACGACGTCATGCGTGATTTTGTAACAAATCATAAGGTAACAGAAATTTAATTATGTGAACATAGCTCTTCCCAACTAATTTTTAAATGATATAGCCTGATTTCATGCCTAATTTGCAAGGCGACACTTATTACGACATCAATTTGCCTGGAAGAGGGATTATAAACTTTACCGGAGATTCTACTTACAGAATGGCTAACGGGAATAAGACGCTGAAAATGAAGAACCAAGATATGAAAGAGGAAATATTTGACCCTATTGTTAACCGCATTTTTGCCCTCATTGATGATCAATTTAAGCAGGCAGAGAAAATAGAGAGTACAATTGATGCAATTTTGATGGTTGGTGGCTTTTCCCAATCCAAATACCTGCAGCAACGCATTAAAGACCAGTATAAAGGTGTCTGTCATGTCAGCGTTCCCTTCGAAGGTGTCACTGCTATATCTCATGGCGCTGTTTCTTACGCTTTGAATCCCCGTATGATATCAAAAAAATCTGCCGGACAATCCCTTGGGTTAGAAGTACAAGCCCCTTTCTATAAAGAATTGGCCAATTCATTAGAGAAAAAAGTTATTGGTCCAAATGGAGTTGCTTTTGAAAGAGGTTGCTTAGAGTACTTTGTGGAAAAAAATCAACCACTGGAAGGCGAGCGACGAAAAATATATCAGAAAGATGTATTTGTTCAATACCCCAACGCTGCAATTATAGGTAGTTATGACCATTGCAAACTACATCTAACAGCCAGCTAATTTTTATATTAGCAATCTTCTCTTGTGACTCTAAAACAGGTGCTAACAATAGATATGTGACTACCAATCACGTTAAGATCATGGAAGCCAAAATCATCATGCCGTCTGTCAACAAGAGAGATGGAGACCTGGTCAAATTCAAAGTTAGTCTTAAAATGGAACATATCGGAGTCAGTGTCACTATTGAATGTCAAGATCCAGTAATCAATGAAGAGGTTAAACGAATTACCAACAATTCAAAGGCTTCTTTAAAAATCAAGCCCAAATGCAACCTCAACGTGGCAAACTCTAAGCAGTCATTGATTTCGTATTCTTTGGCAAAAACTGGCTATTTGTTTAATATTCGGGAAACTACAATTTCAAATTAAATAACATGAGCTGGGTTGTTAGTATGAAGTCAAATAAACTAGTACTTTTTATTTTAAACGATTGTTCGCATATTATATCTTGAGGCTTAGCAATATCCAGTTGCTACAAAAGATCACAAAAAAAAAAAAAAAAAAATGCAGTACTTGTGATGGAATAGTGAAATATATAAAAGTATAAAAAGAAATAAATGTCTGTTACTCATAACAATTATGTTGACAATCGCAAGCTTAAAAATTATCATTTAATCAAACTCAACAGGAATTTGCCAGAGGCCTTTCTATAGGACGTTGTAATGCCCTTGCTAAAACAAGGGTTAGAGGAGATACTTTATTTCGTTTACTAGAATAATAGAAGCTACATCTACCAAATACACAGCATTACTCTTCATGATGCGCACTCAGGATAATGGGAAGCAACCAACATAGTGTATAATTTCATTCTGTTGTTTGTTTGGCTAAGTTTACAAACTATACCAATGTATAAGAGTTTATCTTTCTGTCCAACTATAAGAAAGTAACCAAAGTTTACTTCGTTACAGTTTAAGTTCAGTGATTGGATAAAAAAAACCTTATTCTTAAAAAAACCTTATTGGGGGTTGAACATTAACCTTTTAAACTCATTGCTAATATATATGTATTTTCTTATACCTCCTCTTTGTATATGGCGCATAAATAAATTATTACTCCTTTACAACGCAAACTTATCTTCTGGGCTACAAGGAAACCCCAGGATTCTACTCCGGCTTAGCAAGTAACCAAGCCATGGTGTAACATGAAGCATGTAACGTTACGTTACGGTACGGAAAGGAGTATTATGCCCTTTCATCTTCTAAAACAAACAATCGCGGCTGATAGCGTTTGCATACTTCGAAGTTGTTATTTATCAGCATTCAAACAACATAAAAAGTAATAGCCAACGACTTGTTTTTTAAGGCTTATGATTCTTGTATCACGCAAGCGTACACAAATATTTAAGTGGATCACACAAGTATAAACGCAATTCCCAATCCTTTTTTTTTCTCTTTCTCTTTCTCCGTATTAAAAAATGGCGTTTAGGTATGACCATTATGGTCTAATCGTTAGTATAGGTAACTAGTTAAGTAAATAATGAAAAGAGTCATGAATTACTTACGCGTGTAATCATTACAGATTTTGGTACCACATTTTCAGGAACATGTTATGCTATCACTGGTAAAATGTCTCCAAAAGAGTTGAGAGAAACAATCTACCCAAGTATTATTCATGTTACTGATTGGTAAGTCAATAAACAAAGTACTTTATTCTTCGTATTAATATTTACAAATCTTAGGCCAAAGCAAAACAATTTACAGCATAAAACACCATCTATCAATATTTATGATCGTAACTTTCATCTTTTGCACTGGGGAATGAGTGCCTTAAACTTTATCAAATCTGGTCAAGTAAAGGATGGCCATCGAGTTATTGAAAAGTTCAAATTGCAGCTACCTTCATCTATTGCACAAAAAGGAGCTATTCACCAAACTGGAAATACTAGTCAACATGAACTTTTAAATATGAGGGCCACAATTGATTACTTTAGAGAGATCTTTGACCACACCGTCAATGCCATGCAAAATGCTACTATGGTACAAAACGTAAAAATCGAAAAAGAAGACATTCGTTTTGTTATCACAGTTCCAGCACAGTGGAATGATGTTCAAAGAGCTATTATGCGCAATGTCGCCAAGGAAGCTGGTCTTATATCTGAAGAAGATCACGAAAACCGTTTGCTAGTTATTAATGAGTCCCTGGCCGCAACACTTTACTGTGAGCGAAAACCAGATGCCAAAAAAGTGAAAGAAGGTAGTGCTAAGAATGGACTTATGGGAAAGGACGACAAGTATATGATCTGTGATGCTGGAGGAGGAACTGTGGATCTTGCTGTATTTGAATCAACCGGCAGTGGTAACGAACAAGACAATGATAGTTTCAGAAGATGTCAGCTCACAGCAGACAGTGGGAAAAAATGTGGATCGGTGTATCTTGATTTGAAAATGAAGGAGGTTCTTATGGATATATGTTTTGGTGCAGATAAAGAATCCTGGAAAGACAATAAGTTAAAAATGGAGGAGCTTGAATCACATATTGCACCTCTGACAGACCAGTTTCTGGTAGACAAAGTGAGTACCCAATTATTTTCCATTTACGTATTCTAAATTTACAATCACAGACGATTTTTGGAGAGGCGAAAAAAGACTTCGTTCCTGATTGCTGTCGTAAACTCCGAAAAATGTATAGTGGCAATAATAGCGATAGCGACATCGACAGTGACAACAACAGCGACTGCGGCAACAGCAGCGACAGCGACAGTGATAGTGACAGCGGCAGCGGCAGTGACAGCGACAATGGAAATGTCAATAAAAATGACAAAAATCGCCGAAATAGCATTCCAGAACCAATCCCCACTTGTGAGGGCTGTAATTTTAGTGATGGACATGATGAAAAGTTCGTAGAGCTTGACAATTTTGGCGATGGTAAATTAGCTATTCGTAATGCATATTTTTATTCTTATAATGTTTGTGTTTGTAGATACGGTTTTTTTAATTACGCAAGGCAAGATATTGGATCAACTGAGATTGCGAAGAGACCATAACGATAAACCTATTACAAAAGATGGTGTAACAGTAGAACAGGATGAGAATCATTTTGAAATCAGACTTTCTTACAAGTTCATGCGAGAAGAAGTTTTTGATGAAGTAATCAATAATACAATCGAACTTTTGAGAAGACAAATCAAGAAGGCTAACGGAAAAATTACACGAACCTATCTGGTGGGAGGCTTTGGTGGTTCACCATACTTGCGCAAACGTATTTTAAACGAGTTTCCTGCTGATAGCCCATTACATATTGGGAGCTTAATCCAGGACGATAGAGGCGATACAGCAGCAATGCGGGGTGCTTTGATTTATGGTATTGATGGTAGTAGAAAAGAGCCTCAATCTGATGTCGTAGTAGCTCACTACCAAAACACCGACACTTCTAAATACAATACGCTTGTTTGCATAGGTAATCTTTATTTAGTACGAATTTTACCACAGCTACTTACGCGAGTATAGATATCGGATATAATGGAACCTCGTGCTCCTACAGGGATTTAACAACTAAAGAAGATACTATGACAGAAATTGTGAATTGGTAATAAGATTTAACTAAACCAAAGCACAAAACTAACATATCTGTATAGGCCTGGTTTAAAGGAAGAAAGCTTCATGATTCCAACGGCAAAGAAAACCTCGGATAGTAAAACTCTTTGGGGAGCTCAAGTAACAAAAACCACTAATTTGGATCCAGAATTATTGATTGTACCCAGTGAGCTCATGTCAATTGTGAAGAGCGATTTCAGATCATATCTCAGCGAATATATCAGGCTTGTATTTGAGCATGTTCACGGCGTTATTAAAAAGGCAAATCCAAATCTTGCGGATAAGAATAAGTACAGATATGTCATTACTATGGAAAATTGTTACCAATTCTTTAACAACAAGTCTGAAATGCGTAAAATTGCTCGGCTAGCGGGTATTCTTAATGATACCAATGAAGAGGATTCTTACGAACGTTTATTGCTTATTCGCCGAGATAATGCAGCGGCCATGCATTTTGAAAAGACCGAATTTAAAGATAAAAAGGGCCACAGTAACCATTTCCTTCAAATCAGCGTATATCATGATACATGCCATTTGTCACTGCATGAATCAACTAAAATCAGTGGATACGATGAAGAAAAATACGTTAAAACCGAAAAAGATGCTTCTCAGGAACCTTCAGGTCGCTTCAGAAATGTGAGAAGTATGCGCTCTGCCACGTTTGTTTTCAACTTTGTTGCAAAGCTAGTTGCCAATTTAGACTCTTTCGTATCGACTTCTGTCTGTATAAGCTGTACAAATCCAAACTCTCATGATACATATAGTCCTACCTATTATTCTGAACTAAGAGAAGGATTCCTCAAGTATATGAAGGTTAGTAAATATGGATACCACAAAAGACAAGTTTTAATAGTTCTATGATAGAATGATTTGGATTTCAACAATAATGACAAAACCCAAACCATCACCATTACTGACGCAGGATGTTGCAAAATTTCTATTACCATCTATGATCTTTTGGAGCACGTTTTCCGTCCTGCTACTCGTGATTTAGCATCTGAAATCAATCGTTTTGCAACTCAAGTTGATATGGCGCGTCTTTTCAACTTTGACAAGATCTTTTTATCTGGTTTTTTGATAGAAGCCAAAAAGGAAGCTTATGATTTCCTGGAAAAGATTATTCTTAAGAATATATCCGAGGTCATGAATATTCAAGGTGAACTTATTCTTCCATCTGCTGAAAACGGGAAGGAGGCTCTTATGGGTGCTGCGCATTACGGAAACTACCCTGAGGACTTTACAGAAAGAGTATCAAGGAAATCGTACGTTGTTCAATTGAAAGGTTATAAACGCCAAGAGTTTGATGATGATGTGAAAAAAAGTATTTCAAAAATCAAAGAAGAGAATAAAAGAAGCATGAAGAACGATATATACAACGAAGAAGCATCCAATGCCCTTATTGATGAGAGTAAAACAGTCCGGTTATATCACCAATCATCCTACAACCCTTCTTTGAAAAATGACAAGTTTATAAGAAACCCTGATGATGTGACATTCCTTATACACAGAGGTGACAAAATATCAGAACATAATCAAATGCATGGTGTCTCCAAAAGATTTTATTCTGAAGAAGAGTGTATTGTTTATGCAAGTAAGTGACAAAAGCCCAATAATTATATGCAATTCGGATCCATACTCACCCCACATACATAGCTGTATTTTACTCGGAAGATCCCAAACTACCTGAAGATGAAGTCAAGGTTGACCTTACCAACTTTCATAAAATTCATCAATTTGAAATTTATGTCAAACGCGACGAAGATGATCCAATGACAGCAGCTCCCAAATCTCGTCTTCATTTTGATGTCCGTATTATTCCTGATAATAATGAAGCCAAGTTTGAAGCAAATGTTGGTTCAAGACTTGGAAACAAGATTCCCGAATTCCGTTTCAGAGATGAAATTTTGGTTGCAAATATATATAGCGACGATGAGCAAATTAATATTGGAGATTTGACAATTAGTAACTTCAAAAAGAACGTGGATAATTTGGCAGTTGGCGTTCGGGGAGTGCAGAAAAATGCTTAGAAAAAGAATAAAAAACAGTAGTTCAAATTACCATTTAAACTGTAAATTTAATCCTGTGTTAGATTTAAGCAAATGCATTGTTTCATTTCTAACCGTAATATCTTTTGTCAACAAGATAAATTTGGCACTTGTATTTACACCCTCTCACTCTTTGAGATTATTTTTCCATTTATTTTGTTGGGATACATCTATAAATATTACCAAAATTAAATGATACCTTTCCAATCTATGCCATTATCTACACAGATTTTTTTTCTTAGTAATTTTTAATCTATCAGACCTAACGTGTCTTGTATTTTTAAATACTTAGTTATTTCATTGTTTTATCTGTTACTCGCCTTCCGAATCGCATTTGGCCCTGAATTTTCTGTCCGGCCAAACAAATTATCAGAGGCCCATATCTGAAACTAAAAGCACGCATTAAGACGGACAAAATAAAAGTGGTATGATCTCAACGCCGTACATTGTAAAATCTTGGAGTATCCCTAACAGCAATCTATAACAAAATAATCTAACATCCGCTGAATAGGATTTTTTTTTTTTTTTTACTCAGTCAACGAATTATGATTCAATGACAAACACATAGCCATTAATAAGGCATTGTGTATTAGGCTACTAACATCTGTTAGGTAAATTACTTTGTTGACAAGTTAGTTAAATATGAAATAGAGATTATTGTCTCAGACCCAGGATACCTTTCTTAAAATATGTATTGATCAAAAATCCTATCAAAGGAAGAAAAAAATCTGGACATGGTTTTGAAAAGCTAAAAATTAACGTGTAAAAATTAAAAATTTAGCGCAAGGTTCCCGAGTCCTATTTTCAAAAAAAAAATTTGAACATTTGCAAATTGACACAGCTTGCGAATTAGCAGATATCAATGAGCAATTAATAGCACACGAGTTTTAATAAAGTTTATTACAGTCGATAGCAACAAAAAAAGAAAAAGAAAAGAAAGTCGGGCCATTAACGTATATTGATTACTGACATTTTGTCTCGATGATGGAAGGACCGATTTCTTCATATTCCTTCTTTGAAATCCATAATTGATTGAATGTACCTAATGAAGCTAATATAGAACCACCCAACCAACTGCTACTTTTACGTTCTATCTGATTACCCACTGCGTGGACCTTGACCTTACTCTATTTTATAAATAAGAGATCAATAATCGATCTACACATTCTGTTTCATTTCTCAACTTACTCCTGGCACCATCATTGGTAAATCATTACTTAATCTCTCGGTAAATCCGGGGAAAAGAGTATTGCCACCCGTAACAATGACATTATTGAAAAGTAAAGGACGTAAATCGATGTCGCAAGAGTTAATACTGTTGAATACTAATTGAGAAACTCCAGCAGCATGCTGAATTTGATTTGGAGAAACACCCAAAAAAGGGATCTTTTGTGATTCTTTGCCAGGCTCTATAGGAGGTAATCTAGTATGGTGGGGATTGAACATGATCTCTGGCACTCTGTATCGCTCTGCACCAAATGCATTGTTGTAGCCATCAGGAAATTCAAAAGGTTTTTGAGGTCTTTGATTTAATAAATGCTCATCGTAAGGGTATTCAGATACTTGAGAAACGGATTCCTTATACTCGTGGATCACTCTCTAATGACAAATATATCAGTAAATTTCCTGAATGTCCCTCACTGACATTATTTTACCGAAATTTGATAATCGTCAAAACTCTTGGTTGTGTCAGGTCGCTTACGTAATTGAAGCTGTGGTGCAGCGCCAGATGGAACGGGCTTCTTACTAGCGATTTTATAAAGAGGGGTAACGTCCAAATGTAAGTCTCTTTTAATATGCTCTCTGATTTGTTGTGTCAAAAGATCGCCACCAATTGATTGATGGAGTACGCCCTTCTTTAAAACATAACCATCATACACCGGGACAGCACTGGTTGTACTTCCTCCAGAATCCAAAACTAAACCAGTTGCTCTACCCACTGAAAAACTATTGAACAAAATTTAGCAAATAAGCTTGAACTGTTATCAGAAAAACTCACGCTGTCATAACAGCATCCTTTGCAACATAAAAAGCAGGCACATCGAACTTTTCGAAAGCTAATTCCATCAACTTTTCACGATTCTCTGGTGTATTCCATGCGGGTTCTGTACATAATAGAGGATGTTCGGTCGAGTTGACGTGCAACATGTCGTTATAAGCAGCTTGCCAAAGGTGTTCAACCGCATCCCAATCTTGAATTAAACCGTCTTGCATGGGGTTTTTGATTTCCATGTTGGCGCGCCATGTATTCAATTTAGCATCACCAATATAATAATTGTTTTCCTTGTCTATGCCGTATGAAGTGGGGAACATAGATTTGGGTACATCTTCACCTGCAAAGCCCACGCGTGTTGAAGTCGATCCGACGTCAAACACAAGCGCGTTTACTTCATCTAAAATTTAATAGAACCAACTGGTTTGTCAGTAGTCAGGTTTTTATGCTTATATTCTCGATATAATACCTCCTCCGTATGTAACCATTATTTTTCGATAGCCTGAAGAAGAGCGAAAAAAAGTTGTGAAAGGAACAAAATAGATTCAAGAACAGTCACTCATTTTCAACTGGCCAAGACAAGGTCGGGCCTATCATTATAAAAATTACTTTTTCGATATGACAAGTAGTTCATCTCAATAAATGATAATGGTTACAACAGCTCATCTAATAAATTACATCTATCATAGCCAAAATTGTTCTTTTTATTTTTTCATTGAAAATATTCTTTTTCTAAAAATAAAAATTATGGGCCGTATGCGTTTCTTTGTAGGTCCCACATCTTTGTATCGTAAGTACTGCAAACATTTAGCAGCAGTGGTATATCATTTTGATTCAACTTCAAATCATTAGCTAGTGACGCTGTGTCACTTAGTGGGTCATCTCCGTTTTGCACTGCTTCTTGAACTATATCTTGAAGCATCGTGCTGTGCAAATATATCAGCTGTAAGTTATCCTCCATTAAATTCATAATCTACAGAATTAACGGATCAGTTCCAAGTCCTATCTATTCCACATTCACGCTGTATATCTTACTTGTTCTGCACATGATAAATCTCCATTGTTATCTTCATAAATTTGTCGCATATCGCTTAACATAGTATACACTATATTCGACATAGATATCACTTGCCAACTATTTCCAGCTTTCTTCAATGATGGTGGATCCATCACGGTATCAGGCAATCGATGATTTAGTACGCGGCATTTGCTGTAAAGTACTTTTGTTTTAATCAAACCATTCATCTGATAAATTTGGCAGATCACTTACAAATTATTGGTATCAATTACCAGACAGGAAGCTTCGGAAACAGAGTCTGAAAGAGTGAATTGTTCTAACGTGTTACGTAGATCCGCATCTAAGACCGATGTAGCAGGTAAAGTAGGAATACCCATTAATACGAAATCAGATTTGTATGTGTCACAATAAGACGCCATTAATGAGCGGCCATATGATTTAGCAAATAAACGATCTATTCTTGTATTCGGTACATCATTTGACTCTTGCGTAATATCAGGTTCCATGTGCGTCACTGTCGATCTAATTGAGAACATTTTAATAAACACAAACAAAGATCCCATAAACAAATGTTACTTTGGCATGGCTACATGGTAACTTCCAGTAGGAGACATTGTCAGAGACGGTACTTCTAACGAAGATGAAGACGACGATACCACCACAAAAGGATCTGGAGACCATGGTCTTTCATCTGTATCACTAAACCATTTCGATGAGCTTTTTATCGAGTTTGTAGATTCAATGGACGATGAAGCGTAGGCTACGTGATGATTGTTCTTAGGTATAGCAATAGATTCAACGTCACCAGTTAAATGGCGCACAATTTTATCCTCAAATTTATGTTCACTGTTGGTATCATCTAATTCATTACTGAAAATAGATTCTGAAGATGTGGATGTGGTTAACATGCTTTTGGTTCGACTTTCCGTATTTTCATAAACCTCGTTACACCGAATGAAATAGGATAATATATACAAGATCCTCTTGACTACACTTGGCCTTAATCCTACTACAATTGTTCTCGTAATTCTAGATGGCGTACCAATAAACCCATACAAATCACTTTTTTTTTATGTTAGGAAACATGGTCATTCATAAATTATACTTTTCTTATTTACCTTAGCTGTGCCCACAATGGATCATAATTTCCATGATGGCACCCGATATGCTAAAATAAGACATGATCAGATGCAAGTAACAAGTGATTAATGATGAACTTACTGTATTAGCTTCAGGCGGAGCCACGGTATTCACCCAAGATAGATGATGCATTAATACACCAGTCAGTAAAGTGGAAATGAAATAGTTGTGCGACTTATTATCAAACTGATGTACTAATTGCATCAATTCCTTTATTAAACTAGCTTCGTAGTCTGATTTTCGCTGCGGGTATGTTGACATGTTCAGCCATAAAGGTTCCTAATTAAATAGGAAAGATGAATAAAGCAGAGATAACTAAATGAAATGTTTACAGCATACCTGTATACGTGGTGTTTCATATAAATCAAAAAAATAAGTTTTGAATTGATTAGCAGCATCTATTAGCACAGGATCCTTTTGAAATGTGTTTGGGCTCAGGAACAAGGTACTTGATCGTTTTCTAGGCTGTAAATAGGAATGCGGTGGATGGTTCTTGAAATATTGATATAATTGCTTGAAAGCAATAGCTTGTAATTGATGTAATCTATTTTCAATTAAAGCAAAATGAGAAAATATAAAATCATAAAGAGTCTCATTTTTATCTTCTAAAGTGATAATAATGGCAACAGCAAATTTGACGGATCTTGATGTTTGCTGTCGTACAGGCTATAAAAGATGTGAGTACCAATGTGACGAACCAATAGGACACACCTTACATTTTCTATGGCTGATATTCTAGTGGTAGGTAATGGGGTCGGACTAAAAACACCATTTTCCATATTTGTTTGACTAAATCTACGCGTGCGCTTTGTTGATTGATATAAGCCTAACACAGGCGGATAAATCGAAGCGGTAGAAAAATGATCATCGTCACTTGATTGTTCAGATATATTATCATCACAAACTGATGAATTTGCAGTAAATGAGGTAGTGGATCTGTCGCTATTTACAGATGAAAATGATGTGCGTCTAGTGATATCTAAGTCTCTTTGCTGTTGGGATTGAGTATTGTTGAGCGTAAATAACTTGGAAATAATTATTTGAGGGTTCTTATCTCGCTTGTAATAATGGACTTTTGTATTCATTCCCTTATAAGCAAGTGGTGCAGTACCAAAGATCATCTCGCCTGTTAAATCTAATTTGCGGTTGCTCTGACAAAAGATATATGCAGGTTAGATTAATGTTACAATAATAAATGTTTGAATCCGTTTACTTGTCTATGGTTGTTTTGTTGATTCTGGTCAGATATTGATAATGAAGGCATTGTTCTCATATAGGAAGGTCTCCAATCATGCCTTTGGTCTTTAAAAGAGCCTACTTCCATGTTTGCTCTGCCCGAATTATGTGCCTGAGAGCCATTCCATGAACGAGCCATAGGTGTATTAGCAGGTGGAGAACGACTGCCGTTCTCTATGTTTAAAAAATAGTCCGAATCGTACAATATTGTCTTGTTAGAGTCACCCACGTCCTGACAAAATAAAATGCGTAAATGGTCTTGCTGTAATGGATTTGGTTCCCATCTAAACATGAAAAATAAAATCATATTAATTGTCAAACAAAAGTAAGAAAAGTTACCAATGCAAAATAATAAATTTGAATAACAACACTTCTAGCCCTCTCTTTTTGATAACGAATGAATATTATTATGGTTTTTATTTACGATTGAGATTCTAAAAGTAATTGACTGTGAGTGTCGTCACCGTCTCTTGAAACAGTTTTGTTACGAAAGAGTCGTTGGAGCATTCTCTCTCCACTCTCGCTTTTTCGTTTTCTTTTAATAAAAAATAAATGTAAGGTAAGCTTTTAGAAAGAAAGAAAAATGTTTAAATAAGGAAAAAAAAACAATTAAAATGGAAGTTGTCAACTGGTTGAATGTTAAGTCACAAAATCTGTTCTTATTTGTATGGAAGTCTTTTATGCTACTTTTCTAAGCTTGCTTATTCACAGTGACTGTATTTGAGAAGCTTATAATTTAAATGGCTAGTGGTATTTAGCCTGAAGAAAATGTAAATGTAATTAGTAAAATGCCCACGTTTACGGTATCAAAAATGTGATAGAGAGCTGGTGGGGTAATCAGGTCAGGAGGGAAATATTATTGGACACCTATTTGAAACAACATGTACACAAAAACAAGTAACATGTATGGGCAAGCACTAGTTGTATCTGGCTCAACATCTGACCTATACTAATCCCGCATATGTTTACCAATACAGCCATACAATCCCAACATAGGAGTAGAACGATAAGCTCTACATATTGAAAAGTAAAATCCTCGATTTAGAAAATTTGATTTTAATATATTGAAATAACTTGATCAGTTTTTGTGTTTAAAAGGGATTATTTCTGTCAGAGAATACAATTCGTCGATGCAAACTTGACTAGCAAAGCAACGGCGCCTATTCATCTTTTAATCCTTATATCAAAAATGATGCATAAATATTATTTGTGTCTGACTTCGAAAAAACACAGTCAGTAAGTAGCTTACATTCACTTCAACAAAACCAATGTGCTTGTGATAATATGAACAGTCTGTGGTAATGAATTAATTTTTTGCATATAAGTGTCTACAACTCACTGTCAATGCGATTATTGAGTTTTTTATTTATATTTCTCACGGGTTCAAATGACCTCCCAATCAATTGGGATAGACATTAGTGACTGTCAGGATCAAAGCAGATGATCAGCTATGTCTGCATAATATATTTTTGATTTACATGCCACAATTCAAACATTTAAAGGGTTTAAGGGGATGATACTAAGTATGGATCAAAAGTCTTTAATTCACTCTGCCTGAAAGCAATACAACTGAGTATTATTGGTGGTGCATGGGTATAAGTAAGCTACCAAAACCTATATTAAAATCATGGGAAGTGTAAGTTGAAGAAAGAAATGCTGCTCGCATCGAACAGAATTTACGTTTTTTGTAAGTTATTGTTTATCTATTTTGTATATAGAACGTTACAATCTTCCTTCGACCTGGCATTATCATTTTTTTACTGCTTAAAAATTTTCAATCTAAAGACTCTGCTTATGGTGGAGACGGCACAACAATCTCTGAAGACGAGCTTTCTGTTGCTGACATGCCAGACAATAGTTACACTCTTGCCAGCTGGAATGAAGCAAGTACATATGCCACTGCCCGACCGAAAATTCGTTCTTTTGGAAAATGGAGGCTTCTTTTGTGAGAATCTTGGAAACACCAATATTGGGAAATGGCGTGCTGATTTATTGTCTAGTGTCGGAAAATTTAAACTCAATAGGTGAGCTGGCAACTGACAGAGAGCACAAATAAAAGTCTATTGATATATGCGAAAATGGCACGAAAACAGTGAACTGTTTTTCGTCATTCTTCTTAGGGTTTAGATATCGTATTTTACAAATAGCATATCTTTTTAATCCTCTAATAAGTCACCGTTGTCATGAAAAGAGGTGACGAGGCGAAAGTCGTCTCAAACACACTTGAGAGGTTTGTAACCATTGTCGTCTCCCAAAAGTTGCCCACTGTATCAATTTCTTCGATTATCGATTCAAGAAAGTGTCCCTTTTATTCTTACTAATTGAAAGGGTTGTTCAGGTTGTTGAAGGTTTCTAGTTTATTATAATAGGTACCAGGCGAAGAAGAGAATATCACTAAATCTGCAAAAATAAAAAAAAAAAAAAAAAAAAGGACATGACGAGACTTACAGTTCCGATGGTCCGTTATTCGTGCTTCTTATACTCTCGGTCACAGCATGAAGGTTGCCTAAGTTAGTTTCGTCGATGTCAATTGAGAAAAAAGGGCCCTTTTTTTATAAGAATTCTGGACGCTCCGAACTTTAAGGTTTCATAAAATGGATTGCGCCCTTTCCTGTGTTAAGATATGGCGTTCAAGTATAGTGATTATGGCCTCATCGTTAGCATAGGTAATAAACGAACAATATTCCTCAGCAGTATGATTTATGTACTAATGTGACATACCCAGAGTTTGGCACCACATTTTCAGGGTCATGTTATGCTATTGCTGGTAGAATGTCTCCAAAAGAGTTGAGAGAAACAATCTACCCAAGCATTATTCATATTATTACTGATTGGTAAGTTAATAAAACAAAGTCCTTCAATCTTCATATAAATATTTAAAACTTTTAGGCCAAAGCAAAATAAGTTAAAGCATAAAACACCATCTGCTATTGTATGTAATCAAAATCTCCACTTTCTGCATTGGGGTATGAGCGCCTTTCGCTTTATATAATCTGGTCAAGTAAAGGATAGTCATCGAGTCTTTGAAAAGTTTAAATTGCAACTCCCTTAATCCATTGCACAAAAAGGGGCTTTTCGTCGTACTGGAAATACTAGTCAACTCGAGCTTTTATGCCTAAGAGCTACGATTGATTATTTTAGAGAGCTTTTTGATCATACAGCTAGAGTTATGCAAAATGCAAATATGGCTCAAGGGACAACCGGCGATATAAAAATTGATAAAGAAAATATTCGTTTTGTTATCACCGTACCAGCACAGTGGAATGATGTCCAAAGAGCTATTATGCGTAATGTCGCCAAAGAGGCTGGTCTTATATCTGAAGAAGATCACAAAAATCGTTTGCTAGTTATCAACGAGTCTCTAGCCGCAACACTTTACTGTGAGCGAAAACCAGATACTAAAAAATGATAGAAGGTAATGCTAAGACTGGGCTTATGGGGAAGAACGACAAGTATATGATTTGTGATGCTGGTGGAGGAACTGTGAAACTCGCTGTATTTGAATCTACTGATAATGGTGACGAACAAGACAATGATAGTTTCCGAAGATGTCAGCTTACAGCAGACAGTGGAAAAAAATGTGGATCCGTGTATCTAGATCTGAAAATGAAGGAGGTCCTGTTGGATATCTGCTTTGGGGCAGACAAGAAATCCTGGGAAAATAACGAGTCAAAAATAAAAGAACTTGAGTCATTAATAACACCTCTAACAGACCAATTTCTCATAAATAAGGTGATTAAAAAAAAAAAATCCGCTTTTGACAATCTTATTTGTAGACAAATTTTGGAACAGCGAGAAAAGACTTTATTCCTGATTGCTGTCGTGAAATTTTTGAAAACTATGATTCCAATACAAGTGACTATGAAGAACCAAGGTGCTGTGTTTGTGACTTTGCTGGAGGGAGCGACGCACAGTTTGTAGATCTCGACAATTTCGTTGATGGTAACTTTGACAATTCGACGATCCGTATGCGTCTTTATCCTAAATTTCATTATATTTGTAGATACGGTTTTTGTAATTACGGAAAGTAAAATATTAGATAAACTGAGGTTGGAAAAAGGCCCTGGCGATGAAATAATTACGGAACAAGGTGTAACAGTCGTGGATGACGAATTTCAATGTAAAAGTACACTTACTTACAAATACATGCGCGAAAACGTCTTTGATGAAGTTATCAATAATACAATTGAACTTGTGAGAAGACAGATCAAAAAGGCTAACGGAGAAATCAAACGAATATATCTGGTGGGAGGCTTCGGTGGTTTACCATACTTACGCAAGCGTATTTTAAACGAGTTTCCTGCTGATAGCCCATTACATATTGGAAGCTTGATCCAGGACGATAGAGGCGATGCAGCAGCAATGCGGGGTGCCTTAGTTTATGCTATTGATGGCAGTAGACATGAGCCTCAATCTGATGTTGTATTTGACACATACAAAAATACTTCCACATCGAAATACAATGCTCTGATTTGTCTAGGTGATAAATAATATCAACATGATTTTACAAGTGACTTATTTTGTCGTTCTATTTGTAGATATTGGTTACGATGGAATCGTATGTTCTTATAGAGATTTGAGAAATAGTGGTGATAACATGACAGACATTGTAGATTGGTAATTAATTGGAGTATAATTTATGAGCATATTTAACGTGTGCAAATAGGCCTGGTTTAGATCGCCGTAACCCTACTATCCCTACAGCAAAAGAAGCATTAGATGGGAAAACGTTATGGGGAGCTCAAGTTAAAGAGACTGGCATCCGCAAGCCAGAGTCGTTTGTTACGTTGAGTAAGCTTATGTCTGCTATGAAGGAGACTTTTAAAGCATATCTAGTTGACTTACTCAAATACGTGCTGGAACATGTGCATAACTCAATTATGAAGACTAATCCGTATCTTTTAAATAAAAGCAAGTACAGATATGTTATCACTATGGAAAACTGTTATCAATTCTTTGGCAACAAGTCCGAAATGCGTGAAATTGCTCAACTTGCCGGTGTCATTAAAAAAGATGATTCCCTCAAAAGACTATTGCTTATTCGCCGAGAGGATGCAGCAGCTATATATTTTGAAAAGAACAAATTCCCTGGAAAAAAGGCGCAAAGTAACTGTTTCCTTCAAATAAACCTGTATCACGATACATGTCATTTGTCCTTACATTTATCAACCCAGATTGGCGGTAATGACACACCAAAAGCCAGTGATGCTAATAGGTCTGGGGAATCGATTTCTGATAGATTTAGAAATGTCCGAAGAATGAGGTCTGCTACATTTGAATTTGACCTTGTTGCTAGACTTGTTACAAATCTGAGCTTGTTTATATCTAATGCTGTATGTTGTAAAGATCAGAAAACCCATGATACGGCTGACCCAGCTTATATTTTGGAGCTTAGACGAAACTTTCTCGAATATCTAAAAGTCTGTAAATACAAGAGCTCCAATATTATATCAGTTATTGACGTTACTATAGAACAAACTAGATCATGATAGTAACGAAGCACAAACTATCCCGGTGACTCAATCACCAGGCTGTCAAGTATCTATTACGAAATACGAATTTTTGGAATATGTTTTTTGGCCTGCTATACGAGATTTGACTTCAGCAATTAAGAGTAACGGAATGCAACGTAATGTGTTTCGTATATTTGACATCGATTGGATTTTTTTATCCGGATTTTCAGTAGAGGCAAAGAAAGAAACGAGTAATTTTCTTGAACGAATTGTTATAAAAACATTGTCCGAGGCTCTGAGTATCCCAAGCAGCCGTATATGTTCGTCTGCTATTAGCGGTAAAGAGTCACTATTAGGTACAGCGTACTATGGTAGCTACCCCCGAGACCTTTACAGAGCGGGTTTCTAGAAGGTCTTATGCTATTCAGGTTTGTGGTTACAAACGTCAAAAATTTGAAATTGACATAGAGAAGAACATATCAGAAATGAAGCTAAGAGGAGGAAAAAACGTGAAGAATGACATATACAATGAAGAAGCAGCAAATGCATATAGTGATGTAGCTAAACCAGTGAATCTATACTATCAGTCATCTTATAATTCATCTTTAAAAGATAGTGATTCTTTAAGAACCCGGACGATGTAACATTCCTTATTAGTAGAGGTGACAAGATTTCGGAACACAATCAAATGCATGGAATTTTAAAAAGATTTTATGCCGAGGAAGAATGTATCGTTTATGCCTGTAAGTCTATATCACACATAATACTATATTGCATCCTCATATTAACTTTTGTATATTAAAGCAATTTACTCTTCTGACGATCCTACCTCAATTGAAAACGGAAGCAAACATGATCTTTCAGGCTTTTACAAAATCCACCAATTCGAGCTTTATATTAAACGCGATATAGATGACCCAACCACTATAGCTCCTGAATCTCGACTTCATTTTGATGTAAGTCTAAAGTTTGATAGAGATGAGTCCATATTCGAAGCTTTTGCTTGTTCAAAACTTGGACAGAAGATCCCCAATTTTCGATTTGAAGATCAGTTCTTGGTAGCAAATATCTACGGCAATGAAAATCGGATAATTATTGAAGAATCACAATTGACAAGGACAGAATAGCACAACACTATCGACCTATAAATAAATATCTATATACGCCACTTTTTTTTTGTGTGTGTTTCCTGCATAAAGCCTTTTGGTCAACTAGATATGCCTAACGTATAAAAGATTTGCTTTTAACTAAATAGCAGATAGATACACAATTATCTACCAATGGATAGTTGAAGACAAATTCTTGTCCTTCATTTTAAGAGGACGTGTTGGGTTTCCGTACAATATTTTCACATACAAAAAAGGATACATATATATGTGACAGATGATACCTCGTGGGTCACGGTTTAGTAAATAATACGAAATGCTCAAGATACACCATTCTCATAGCATTGATACAGCCGTGATTTACCATCATATAAATAGGCATCCTTATAAGCCACCATTGTTTGACTTGACCATACAATACCTGAAACAAACTGTCCAAGTCCGCGACGAGATCAAAAAGCTAGGTGATTTAAAAAGCCATGAATTATGTGAAGATGCTATTACCGGTCTAGAATTACTGGAACGAAAGCTAGTTTTGATTTGAATTATGGATTGACAGGACTTTCGCATTTAGAAACCGTCCTGAGTTATTTAAGTAGAAATGGACAGACAGGTACAGTGATCGAATCGCATACCCCTTAAGCATGTTGACGAAGAGAAAATTGGCAGAACAGGAGTATTATTATCCTCTAGATACGACTGAACAAGTGGCGAACAAAGCAATTGAGCAACATGCACAAAATTAACTTGTCGTTGTACGACTAGAGCTCCTTCAACCTACTGAGCAAGAAGGAAGAGTCAAGTTCATGCAATTGTTCGAAAACATGTATCAGCATGTGGAGCAAGATACATCATTCTATATCACCACGGGATATATACGTGATACATAAACAGTCGCCTACTTTATAGTTTTTACAGCATGATATCCAACTCTTTCCTTTTAGAAACGATTCCGACTTAGCCCGAGAAACTTGTGGACTACATATAAAAATAAATTGAAGCAAGTTGGCCTGTCTGAGATTCTAATGGAAGAACGGTGGAGTATTGGGAGTAAACACGAATTGTAACAAATAGCCTGTAAAACTCGTCGTGGCTTTATTTTTGCACCCTTGAAACAATAAATTCGCATCCTTTTTTTGCATTTTGACAGCACAGACGATCTGGTCTTATTTTTTCGAGTGGTGCTACTTTTTTGGGAAATAATTATTAACTTATCGGAGAGTACTTGTGTGTTTATCGTTTAGTAATTCTAGAGAAATTCGTAACCTTATACGAAACAAAAACCTTCCTGTTAAATGTGAGTAGCCGAACAATGGGATACGTAAAAACGATGGTCAGTATGATATCAGGATAAACTCAGGTTTAATTAAAAAGAGCTAAGATGGCTAATACTTAAATAAAAGGGCCAAGATGAAGCATTGCCTCACGATTTTTAAATAACTGAAAGATATCTTCTTTGATCTACTGTGGACACTGTCACCACTCGACCTCCAAAAAACATCTAAGAGTATGAGCAATTTTAACTGTCTTTAGGTCTTAATTGAGTATCGAATTCTTTCGAAACGTAGGAAGTAATTCAAAAAAAAAAATGGAAAACGTCAGTTAACGTTGCTGACTTCTTATGTTACTTTTTTCTTTTCTTACAATGAAGCACGACCCTTCTTTCCTATATAATCTGCGCAACATCAAAAGGTATACTCATGCAATACTGTTTTTCTTTTTTGGCGACATTACTTAGGTTAAGACGAATTCTATATTCCTGAAATATGCCTTATATTTCTCTTTATAAAATGGGTAACAAAAAAAAAATTTAAACACTAATTTAAATCTACCATTTACATGAAATTGTAAGCTAAAAAAGGAAATGATAAAGAATTAAAGATCGTGCAAACCTCAGCAAAATCTAAAAAAATATATATATATCGCGTATTTGGACATGTTTTGATAAAAAGACAGTATCACAAATCCCATAGTACCCTTTCTTTTAATGATGTTGAACTGGACATGCATTTAAGATATATATTTTAAATCATGTTTAAAGCATTAAACTCAGATCAGTGAGGCTCAATGATCGAATCTGAATTTTAACTGCTTGATCGACGATCTATCTTCGTCAAAGATAATTTATATATGGAAACATAACGTGATCATCGTTTCTTTTGCTGCGTTTGCTTACACAACACTGTAAATTAGTATTCCATTGGTAACTTATGTCAACATGACTTTGATATAATCTTGTGAATGCAATTGTATAATTCGCTTTAATAAGGGTCAGTGTATAAGATGTAAAAAACGAGAATGACATAATGCAGGAATGTGTCTAGCAATTTTTTTGTACGGCTGATGATTTCAGTTTCTATTGCTGGACAGACACAATTCAGAATGTGGTGAGTGGTGTCTTGAGGAATCACGTGTGTACATGAGATCCTTGCTGCAGGAGCTTGATATGCCCTAAAAATGTAACGTCATTGACATATGGTGCTAAGCATATCGATTTATTTATGGCTATCCGTTTATTTATAACTATTTGAACAATAGAAATCCTTGGGTTCGACTCTGGTACACAAAGAAAATGAAAGTGTTACAAGCCTCAATGTTGGCTGCGTAAAAAAAATCATAAGGGGTTAAAATTAATATGATGTGCGGTGGTAAATCAGATAACACTACAAATGAGATTCATATACAAACATACGCAATGATATTCTATAAAAAGATGTATTACATGAATGTTGTCAATCCAAGAGCAAAGAGTTTAGTCACATGATCGGTACGATGGTTGGTTGGGTTACTCAAAAAAGAAGGAGCTTCTTCGTATAAATGCTTCTTTTCTCTTTTTCCTTCCTTTTCTCCTTTTCTTCTTCTCAATAATTGAAAATCATTATAAAGAATGTCACAAGAAGCTACATCTTCTATAGAAAACAATTTTTGGGTAACGAAAATATACAAGAGATAGATCACAATAAACAAAAAATTTTAAAAAAAAAATTCAAAAATAGTCTTCCGATAAAACCGCCCTGAATATTTTATTAGACAAACTCGATCAATCTAATAAAACAACGAATGCCATTAAAGACTTTTTCACAGAAAGGTTAGAAAAAAATCTCAGTCTCATACTTTATTTGCTCTAACCGTCTGTCTTAGAGCTCGAATAGAACAAGAATACGGAAATCAGTTGCTAAAGTTATCAGAAACGTTCAACATTCAACATGAGGAAGAGTTTAGCATCATTTCAAATACCACAGAAATGAATGCTAGAGCGCACATAGATCTAGGCGATAACATAAAAAACTTGCTAGAATTACCCTTGACTGATTACGTTCAAGATCAAGAGAATATACAAACTTTTGTAAGTGTGTGTGTATCTGCGTAGAGATTATGGTATACTAAGTTTATATTATGTAGATGACCAATCAGATGAAGGAATCACAAAACATGAAAATGCTGCATGGCGATAATGTGAAAAAGGTATGATATCTAATCCCTTTTGTAATTGGTTCAGTACTCATACGTTTGATAGACCCGACAATCATACATCAATGAATGTCAGAAACCAACTCTCTCTCCTAAAGAAGCTGAGGTATTAGATTTCGAATATCGGAAAGCCATTAACTTGATGCAATCGAATTCCCCTTCTTGGATACACGATTGGCGCGAGTCATGTAAGACTTTTGAGTCGTTAGAGCTAAACCGCTTAAGTTATTTAAAAGCAGTGATAAAAACGTAAGTGAATAACTGTTACTAAATTACATCTCCCTTACACTTACATATCCATAGCTTCTCGAGCATGACAGCGTGTGCATATAGCATCGATGAACAGGTATGTTAATTATATAAACATACGTAGCCTATAATTTACTCACTGTTTATTTATCTCAGACTTGTGAAAGATTAGTTACTGTAATGGACGATATGAATGCAAATGAGGATATTTTGAAATTTATATCAAATCACGGGACCGGATCAGTCTTACCAGGTAAGAGTTTATCCCTTTCATTTTATTTTAATTTACTCACACTTTTATTTCAGATATTCCAAAATACACCAAATTCAAAAGGAATAAAGAAATAGTTTTGAAACAAGAACATCAACCCATTATAACGATCAAAGAAATCAATATACCAACTAAACATGATGAACAACTACGATCTGTCAATGACCAATTAAAAAGATACCAAACCCATGGGACAACTCTGATCTTAATCCAAAGGTTAGATTTAAAACCAATATCATTTATTTTATGGCTGATTCTCTAATATTTAGTCCTCGCTACCCCCACACCAGTATCCTTTAGATCCCGTATACAAATCAAATGTGAGACAGATTTCATCGCATAGTGAACCTGTGTTAAGCAACTTTACATTTAAACAAGATGAAAAATGTAAGTCATTATGACCGAAAAAAAATAAAAACTTTAATTATGATGCTAACCCACTAGCAGTAAACCATAACCAAAATAAATCTACACTCGTTGCATCTTATGAAGAGCCTAATTATCAAACCGCACAACACTTTTTACCGTGGAGCACTAAATCTACCACTCCTACACCAAGTAAAAAGGCTCCCAGTATATTTTCGCCACTAGGATTTTTGAAGAAAAAAAAGGTAGAAGACAAAACTAAGCGACTCTCATTAGGGCATATTTCAACTAAGAACCCAGTACCGGCACCGAACCGTAACTCAAGTTCATCTGTGCTAACTCCGCCTAGTCCTATGTTTAGCCAAATGGATTTCTATTATTCTCCTTCCGATAATCATCATCATAATGACTTACAGCAACCACATATTTGTTAATACAATAATAAGATATTTATGTTTATATTATATAACAAAATGAGATTTATTTATATACAGTGGGAGGGGGGAGGGGTTTATATGGACAAGAGAAAAAGAAAAATGTTACTTTGCGCTTTTAACACCGACGGCTCTCAAAACGCATGTTTTCCATGAAGAAGATCTGCTACCGAGGTTTTGTCTAGAATAGTTTGATTTCTTTGCAAAGAATGTACTCTCATCACTAGAAGTATCGTCGTCATACTCTTCTTGTTTGTTTGTTGCAAAGTAGGTAGAGGGTGAAGTGGAAGATCTTTCGGATGTCATGCCAAGTCGCTTTCTTGAGAAGAGCGAGGTAGAAGGAGAAGGCGAGGCATCATAGTTATTCATAGATCCATTGTACTGATGCTTATCATCTAGTGAGGTATAAGACGACGATCTTGATCTGAATCCCTTACACTTTTGGCGGAAGGATGGTGACTGTAAATTACTTCTACTGTAGTACGAGGGCTTGTCGCTAGAGAAATAGCTTTCATCTTCATCTTGATGATTTAATAAGTTCGTTCTTGCGATAGAGGTCATTGTGTGTGTTTGTATAAAGATGAGAAAGAAAAGAATATAAAACAACCGAGTGTATTTATACACATTTTGTTTGTAGAGTGGGCTTTAAAATCCATTAAAGGTAATGATTAATTTGTGTCATGTACCAAGATCTACTTTCCCTCCTCCCTTCTTAATTGCAAATGTCTATAACAATAAAAGGGACCCTCCTTTATTAGATTTTGTTATTTTGTATTACATTTAATAACTTTTTATTATACTGTATTTTTGTTGTATAAACTAACCCCCTGCTATTGTTATTAAAACAGGATAAGTAAAAACCTTGTTATTGTTTATTATACATGTTCTCGGTTTATACAAAAGTAAAACCATTACTGGATCCATAGTTCTTTTGCATCAACACCATATCCAAAAATCTTGGCTGCAAAGTTTATATCAGTAGTCTAGGCGCTATTTTGTACTAAATGATTCGGAGTTGGCTAGTCAGCTATACCCTTTTCTGTGATGCAAACTACCGAATTGGAGGTGCGTAAATCACAAGACATGTCATTTTGGAATATTTGGCTCTCTGTCTTTATTTTAGCCATCAATGTTGCGACCAATAGCATCTACAAGGCACTCGATTAGGAAACGTTTTTTTTTTCATTGATGATTAACAGCAGATTTATTTATAAAAATAAATGTGAATCACTCCGTTTCCCTCGCCCGCTTACCATTTTGATCAATAAGACCCCTTGTTTAGATAATAAATGTGCTTTGGTTGATACAGTTTAGTTGGTGTAACATGCTCTGTTTGAGGATCCGGAAATAACAAGGTGCTCCTTTTTGATCCTCGGTGCTTTGTTTCCATCAAACAAAAAACGTGGTACTCTGAGTTGACTGATCATCACTGAATAAGTTGTTCTTGGACATTGGATATTTATTAATAATTTACACACATGCCGCAACTCTGAAATCTGTTTTATGGCTGGTGACATTCGCTGCAAATCTCGGAAATGGGTAACAGGTTTATAAATACATTTAATGTTTGCTTCCAAAAATACTTCTCAGGATCTATAAATATTTAAACGTGTATATCAACAATGCTCATCGTATAATCATCATCGTTGCCGGAAACATACTTGTTTTTTTCGCATAAAATCAAATCGGCCTCCTCTCCTTTTCCGCAGTAACCATTTTTGGTCAAAGTCACTGATTTGGAAGACAGATCAAAAGTTTAAAAGGTTGGCATTGACACACGATTCTAATTTTTTTTTTTTTTTTTTTTTTTTTTTTTTTACTAAGTACCTTCGTCATCTATGTACAATTTACATTCTTGATAAATTGTAAGTAATTAGTCAAAAATTTGAGCGTATGTTTTTACACGTAAAATACAAATTTAAATCTTAAAATGATAGGCTCACAGTAAATAAAAATAAAGTTTGAACAAAAAGTTTTCCAATTTTAATTTCAGTTGATACGAATAAAATCATATTTTACTTATGGACTTTGCTATTAACTAAAGCATACTCGATCAAGTGTTTCTTGTGCTTTAAGATGTTAAGATTACATTTTTTCTCAACCTTTAAGCTGGATTTTTTGTTGCTGGACATATGAGCGACGCTGTCATTAATCAGAGCGTTTTGACACTCAATTACAACTGTGGCCTCAATGTGACCGGTCTCCAAAGTGACCTTGAAGAGAATTAGCTCCCTATCCTGGATTCCGGGAACATTGGGTGGCAAAGTGACCCTCGTTTCCATGATTTTTGTATGCTTATCAGTCACGTATCTACCCTCGGTATTATCTTTCGTATCACTTGAATAAACAGCTATACACAACAACAAAAAAATAGGTCAATATGTTAGTTATTCAATTTCCCAAGTTAACAGGTTCGATTTGTTATTACCAAAAACAGCATCATGAGGATATTCAACATAAACTTCTTTTGTATACTTTTTACGTAAATGCTCTTTTAATCCTTGACCCTTCTTTACAAAGTATTGTAAGCGGTTTTTTGCATAATCTTGACCATCAGGACCTTGTACTTTTTTATCTACATCATCATTGGCTTCGAAACGATCTTGTACCTCTAAAGCAAAAGAACGGCCAGCAAATTCTTTAATTATAGTTTTTGGATTTAAACCGTACATTACAGCACCATGAGACATCGCAAGAGTACTCTCTTCTGGAACGAATATATAACATTCGTTTCTAAAATTATCCTTGATACGCTGTTGTAAGTATAAAGATTGTGAAAATCCACCGACCATAAGAATCACATCAATTTTCTTATCGAGTTTCTTTGCTTGATCAAACTGCGTCTTAAAAAGTTCCAGAACACGCTCCACAACAGGATCGAAAACCTTGGTCTTCATGTCATCATTTCTCATTTCAAGTGTTGTGTTATCGTTGGTTAATCTGTAATTTACATCTTTAGACAAATGTATGGTCTCTTTTTGACCGGGCAAATCGATATTAAAATGTCCGCCATGGTTTGGATTGGGCAGAAAGTAGGGCTATATATGACATATTAGTAGACTGATTTGTCATAAAAAGTTCAATACGATACTACCTTGTGTTTTCTATCGAAATCTCGCATAACACCATCAAAATTAATGTTGGTGGATGAGTTTATCGTTATTCCAACATCGCTATAAAATTTCAAGAGATAATCCTTGAAATTTTTATCAAGAGTAGTAGAACCGCATGTATCTCCTACAGCATCACCGATTTGGGAAATCTGAGACACTCCGTCCTTTACTTCGAGCTTATAAGTCACTAGATCAACAGTTCCTCCTCCAGCATCACAGACTATAAAGTTTTCGATACTTTTGCCATTACTTTCGTCATCATTTTCGCTACTACTTTCGTGTTTAAACTCATCAGGGAATCGCTTTTCGCAATAAAGGGCAGCTGCTCCAGGTTCACTAATCAAAAGAAGTTGATCAAGTTCGGTCCTTTTGATCAAAGTGGCAGCAATTGCTGCCTCAGCCATGGTTTCTCGGGCTGCTGTGTCCCACATGGCTGGAACGGTAATAATATACTTGAACTTGTACTTCTTCAAAAGTGTTGCCCTGTTAAAGAAGCTCACATTTTCGTTCATTTCATTAGTAATGATGAATTCGACCACATGATTTTTGAACAGCTTGAGATAAGAAGAAATCACGTTCATTGCTGATAGCTTATTATTTTCATTCTTTGTTTTTCCTCCCTGGTTTCGTAAACCTTCATTATCATCGGGTTTGTTGCTATCGGAACCATAAGAATGATCAGAATCCAGTGCTAGTTTAAAATTTCCCAAGAGATGCAAATCTTTGTTGTGGTTAACCATAAGTCTCGCTTCCTCTCCCCAATAGGCAGGCTTCATTTTCTTGTCAAACATTAACAATGTAGGAGCCTTTCCAAAAACAAGGGAATTTCCTCCGGGCCTATATAAATATGCCAGGTAAGTTTGGGTTTTATAAACCGACAGACATCTTCTTATGTCTTACCATCTATCTCTGATTGTTTTGATTGTTTTCTTTTCATCTTTAAGGTTAACATATGAACATCCAGAAAAGGTTGTACCAAAATCTAAACAAAAATTAGTTAAAACATGTAGTTTTACAAACCCTGGCAATTACTGACCAATTCCAACTATAAAATTGTAACCATCATTTGTATAGCTCTTGTCAATATACTCTTCGGAACTAGGCTCAACTTGATCACTGGTAGTGGTTTTAGAAAAAGGAATTTGTGATACAGACGGTCTGGATGCTGAAAAAACTGCGCCAGAAGAAAGAGCATCAAATGTTGTTTCGATGAGTTTGATGTTACGTAAATAATTATCACTTTTGTCTAAGATGCAACTAAGAAAATACGCATTGACACCATGTTTTCCGGAAAGAAAAACATTACTGACTTTATGTTCTTTAATGGCCCCCAAAGACTCATATATGTAATCAATAACAGGTGAAAACACATTTTCATTTAAATCGGCATAGGTAATGTTAATTTCATCCCCATTCGCATCTTTTGATGTTAAAGCCGTTTGTTTCGGATCCTCCATACCAAAGGAAAACTAGAAAAACACAAATAAAACCATAAGCAATCTCATTGGGTATGATAGTTTAAAGCATATAAACCTTGATCTTTTCTTGAAAATCCTTGGCTAATATTTCAATTGACTCAGGATTTAGGTTCAATGAACTATTATCTTCTAAATATTCTCTGAATTTGACGTCCAGATAAATTGATCCTCTTCCCAAATCCCCAGATATAAGTTCAACCGTACTAAGGGACTCAGTTGTGTCCGCATGAATTTTGGCGATTCCAATCGTAGTTTCGCCTATATCGCAGACGAGGTAACTATTATTGGATGCAATCTTGGTTATCTTTCTATCCAACGAAAGATTATAATAAGCGATAGCCTGAACTTCAGTAATTATGCTGAGTTTCTTTTCAACTTCGTATTTTGTAATTAATCCAGTCTCAATAAAGCACATCTTCATAAATTCCTGTTCACGGGCAGGACACACAAGACAATAACGAAAATTAGCGGTAGCTTGCCCATCAAAATCTTCAAAAAATTGACTTTTACTGAACTCCTTATGAGCCTGCAATCTTTGGAAAGCCAACTTGATGAAACCACAAAGATAATCAGTGACTACCTTTTGAATGGTTAATCCTTCCTTTTTCTCCCCAAGTTGTTCATTGGCACTATCAATGTCGGAAAGATAGTGCTTAATATCAGGTATGTAAACATCTCCTGCTAATGTATCTATTTCTACGTCTGATGGGGCAGCACCACATACAGTGGTCAAATTGTTATCGTTTTTATAGAAAATGGAAGAATGAAAATGTTGATTCTTTTTGCTTGATTCTTTCCTGTAATTATGTGATTAACATATGATTACATAAATGCCCATGAATACTGTTGATTACCAGTTGCTAACGGTGTATATTTTAAATGGGTCATTTACATGAGCAATAGAGACTCCCGAAGAAACTACACCAAAATCTAAAATAAAATGGTTACTATCTTGCCCCCACGCTACATGGGAATTTCATTGCTTGTTGTTATGAAAACTAACCTATTCCCACGACGTATTTGTAGCCGGTCATTTGAATAAAAAAAAAGCAAGACGTGAAAAAGAAAGGGAGAATACGATTCCAAAGATATACGGACGGAATTCTCTTTGTGTTGCACTACATCATTGTTTTTTTTTCATTTTTGGTGATACAACTCAGCCTTCGGGCGGGCGTTTCTGTTACTTTAAACCACTAAAAAAACGGCACTTGTTTAATAAAATTCAAGTGTTACTATTGAGGCACTGCTATAGGAAGACAACGCCACGCAATCATATATATATATATAAAGGATTACTTTGTTGGGAATTTAGAAAGTGGAAGAATTAACTCGTATATGTACGACACACATACACTTTTAGGTTATTTTGGGTCACCAGTAAATTTAGGGTTCATACAAACACGTAAACGCCATAGTCATACAAACATGGAACCCGCATTCTCAAATCTAAAAAAAAAAAAGTTTATAGAATTAACTAGCACTTCGTAATTTAACCGATATTTTAAGGTCGCCGTCAAAAAAAGAAAAAGAAAAGTATAATCAATACATACCACGCTATTTTATAAAAAATTTGTGCTCCTCGTTGTAATTAAAGGATTACAAGCGAAGGGTATTTATTACAACTCATGTGAGGTTATGGATTCGCCTTAATCTAGTATATCTAAACTCGCTTCGATTGTTTCTTGGGATTTGTATACCCAAACCATTTCACACTATTTGTAAGTTCACTAAGCCGAACGATATTTTGCTATAGGTTACACCAGTAGAGCTTATGTCGTCTCTATCTTGCTTTTGTTTAACTAGTTACGAGGTCTGAATCATGCTCTATGGCGATCAACCACCATCCATGCTATATAATTGTACTAATGTTAGCCCCGAAGCTGTTCGCTCCAAAATTTATATTCTTGTTGCGCGCTTCAACTTGGTGTACCCCGTAATGACACCGACTCATAAAACCGCTAATCAAATATCTGTAAAATGGTGCAACTACTATTTTTTTTTTTCTCTTTTCTTCAATAATTCACATTGCAAGCTATTTTATATTGCACTTCATAAATACCTTTATAAAAATCGTATTTATACTTTAGAAAATATATGCGGATACTACGTATTAATTTTTTTCTAACTTTCTAACCATTCTTAAATAATATCAGTCGACTTTTTTTTATTCATTTTTTTGACAAGCCGGTGTCTGCTATCGGTTAGAATATTAAACCAAACTAAAGCTAACGAATATGTAGGTGATTTAAGGCTCTCTGATATTCGTAAATCCGTACAAGTTGTCCATAAAAAGGTTTCTTTTGCCGTAATTTCTCATTCTAGCTTTGAAATCCCATAAATACTTGTGACCCAGATATTAAATAATTTAATTAATGATGGTGTATGGAGCCGATTAATTTTTTCTTAAGATCTCTGACTCATTCTTTCCAGCGATAAAAAAAAATTAGATGGGTTTAGTCGCTATTTCGAAACAATAAATGATTTATTCACAGCAAAAGCCTGTTTCAAGTAGCTCTAAAATTGCTGTTTAAATTAGACCGTTTGGGGGTCTCTTTTAAGCTATTAGAAGACAAGATAACATACGTCAGAAATCTGATATGCTTTTGTGACTTTGATAAGATTTAAAGTTTGTGGTGTAGCACTTTAGTCAGTTTTGCTTTTTTAGTGGCCTTTTAGCGAGTTTGAAAAATTTGCAGCTCCACGAGTAGATTCAATTAGGACCACAAGTACCAATGGAATGGGTTTGAGTAGGAAAACTTGGGACCCTTTAAAACGGATAAACCTCGACCAATCATTTTCCAATTGGTTCTCTCTCGGATAGCAACATAAAAACAGATATATGACGCTGGTTAATTCTATTTTTCAAAACAGTACAAATAAGAGTTTTATACTGAGCTTTCCAAGTGTCCGCGACCTTTTCTTTTTTTCTGTTTGGAATTTCCGAAGCCCGTTCGAATTTGTTTGGACAATTTGGAAAATAGTTTTACCCACTTTTTTATTTAATAAGTGATTCTCTCTTGCTTTTCAAAGTGCAGGTTAAAGCGTAAATATACGTTATTGGATTGTATTTGAAGATGCGAGTGATCATGTGCATGTTTATTAGTCATGTTAGAAAAAAAAATTATTTGACAGGTTTAATTAAACTTTTTTCCATGCCGATCAAAAGTAATTTCACTGTCAATAAAAAAGACCAAAAAAAGAAAAAGAGAAAACTACCGAGAAAAAAAAATTAGTTTAACCTTCCGTCCAGGGTTGGATATAATAAATATCCTCTTTCCTCTCCTTCTTCTAACTTTTTTTTTGTTTGTTTTTTTTTTGTTCTTTTCTTAACAACTGCACTAAAATCGTTCCTTTTTCAACAATGGATGATAAAAGCACAACAAATAAAGTCTTGTCGACTTTTAATCCTGAAGAAGTAGTCAGAGAAGATCGCTCGTTGTCGACCGTAGTGGTTGATGACATCGAGAAAAGCTCAGCCTCCAATGTCCCCACTGACGAACTCCCACCTAATGGTGGCTGGTCTGCTTGGTTGTCTGTCTTTGGTGGTTTTTGCGTAAGCATTAAAATAATTTTTTCGCTTTTGAATAGTCACTAACCTATTTTTTTTTTATTCACTACTAAAGGGTCAATTAGCAATGTAAATATCTATAACGTCATATATTCATTTTAACATAGTACTGACTTTATTTTATTTTATAGTTACGGTGTCAACTACACTTGGGGTGTATTTCTCAACCATTACAACGAGGAAGTCTATCCAGGAAAAATGAGCCAACTTTCATGGATTGGTTCAATTTGTGTATCCTTCTTCTTCATCATCGGTCCTATCAACGAATGGGTTACCAGCAAAATGGGTTATACCAAGATGCTTGCTTTTGGTACCATTATGTGTCCTTTGGCCCTCATGTTGGCCAGTATCAGTCATGAAATCTGGCAATTGTATTTGACTCAAGGTGTCATGTTCGGTATCGGTGCCTCGTTTATTTTCTTCCCTACCTTGGCTGCACCTCAGCAAGCTTTTACAAGTCTTAGAGGTTTGGCTGTTGGTCTTTGTATGTGTGGTTCCGGTGTTGGTGGTTTGATTTTCTCCAACATCTGTCAAGCTGCTATTACACATTTGGATTACCGTTGGGCCTTGCGTATCGCAGGTTTCGTTTGCTTTGGTTTCTTGGTAGTCTGTACCATCTTGGTAAAGCCTCCTCCTAATGCTGTCGTCGTCAATGAAGAAAAGTTTAGCGATTTATTCAAGAAGCAAAAGGCTTTGGTTTGCGATAATAAGCAATTTCAAATCATGCTTGCTATTGGTACCATCACCACTTTTGGTTATCTTACACCCGCCTTCTTCTTAGCTTCTTACGCTGAATCTATTGGTTTGGACCCTTGGATTGGTACCAATCTTGGTGCTATCATGTCAGCCGTGAATGCAGTCTCTATGCTTTCTATCGGTTGGATTGGTGATCGTATCGGTCGTGTCAATGGTTTATTCATCTGTACCTTTTTGTCCGGTATTTTCACATTGGCCATTTGGACTACTGCTAAAAACTCTGCTGCCATTTGGGTCTACGTTGTCCTTTATGGTTTCTTTGGTGGTGGATACCTTAGTTTAAATGCTGCCTCTCTCCCTCAAGTCGCTGGTTATGAGAATATCTCTGCTGCTAACGGTCTCTGTTACTTTACTTCCGTCTTGGGTTACATGTTTGGCTCACCTATTGTCTCTGCTATTGTGGAAAAATCTGGCTATGCTTATGCCGCCGTTTACTGTGGTATGCTTATGTCTGCTGGTGGTTTACTCTGCTGGATGCTCCGCGTGTGTAGAGCTGGTTGGAATCCTTTAATTAAGGCATAAACTTTATCATTTTTTGCCTTAATGTGTACATATATTATTAGAAGTACAAAAAATACCCTTTTTTTTTATTTTTCTTTTTTTTTTCCCATAATGAAATCTTTTTAAAAAAAAAAAAATCTTTTAAATAAAAAACTTATATCTTGTACCCAAGATGTTTTGTTTATTTACAATCTTCAAGTATGATATCTGACGCACGTTCAGCGCACGCAATAACGGGAAAGCAAATTTGACCGGCAGGAACAATGGGGAAAAATGACGCATCTACCACACGAATACCCTTGACATTGTGTACCCTTAAATGGCTGTCAACTACAGCAAATTTGTCTTCTTTTGGTCCCATCTGTAAAAGATACTTATCAGTAATATACCTTTCTCGCTCACTATCTAGTTACCTTGCAAGTGCCTGCATAATGATGGAGTGTATCAACATGTGTTTTGATATATTGTTTGACGTCTGTCTCAGGGTACATAAGCCATCGCTTAATGCAATGGTCCTTATATTCAGCATCATTAGCAATTTGCATAGATACAGCTAACCCTTTTTCTAAACACTCCAAATCTCTTTCATCCTGCAAGAGTCCCAGATCAACACAAGCTTCCTTCTCATTTGTCAATGTAACAGAGCCCTTTGAAAACGGAGTGATATATACCATTAGTAATGTTGCACAATCGGTATCTTTCAAATTTGGCAGCTCGCGACATAGCGCTAATCCACCCGTGAATAATTCAATTTGCGGAGTATTTTCAACACTACTGCTATTGTCAGGCGCATCCTATAGAATCCAAATTATAAGTAAATGTGATGGTTTTTTCTGTTTAAAAAAAAAGTTCTCATTACCGGAATTTTCATGTATGCTACAGCATCAGGCCATAATTGTGTAAAAGCACCATCTTTTGAATTGATAGCCCTATTCAATGATTCCTTGGCTTCTTTAAACAAACCACGATGTAAAGACATTTCAGGTCGAGTAGTTTCATGAACAATAGGTAATCGCCAATGATTCTGAAGGTTTTTACCTACACCAGGTAAATCAGCTTGAACTTCTATACACCGCTGTTCCAGTTCTTCTTTAGGACCAATACCACTCAACAGTAACAATAAGGGAGATAAAATAGCACCAGCAGATAAAATCACTTCACGATCTGCAGTTACGGTGTAGACATCATCCTGGCCAGTAGCGGTATATTCTACATGCGAGACTATGTTGTCCTTTACAACAATGCGTGCTAACTTGCATCCAAGACCAATGAACAGGTTAGGTCTGTTGTTTTGAATGTCCGTGGGGAGGTAGCTTATGCCAGTAGAAGAACGTTGACCTTGATAAATGGTACCATCCATACCAGTTACGCCAATTTGACACTTTAAGTCAGTCATATCACGATACTCTTTAAGTCCGTAATTTTGACATGCTTTTGTAAATTGAGTACCAAGAGTTGTGGTTTTATTCATGTGAGATACATGCAAAGGACCGTTTACACCATGTACAGATTCGTCCACATCTACTGCATCATCATGAAATGTTTCTGCTTTACGGAAATAGCCCTTTAAATCCTCATAGAACCATCCTTCAGTATTCCATGCATCATAATCCGAGGGCGAACAACGATGCAAAATGCAAGCATTGAAGGCACTGGACCCTCCTAACAATTTGCCAAGAGGCACAGGAATGGTACGGTCATTTGCATTTTTTTGGTCAACAGACTTTAATTGCCAATCAGAAGGTGTATTTTTCAATTTGCCATTCAGTAACGGGATCTGCACTTCAAGTGAATCTTCTTGTGTCACACTGCCTGCTTCCAAAACGAGCACGGTATATTTACCACAAGAGGATAATCGGTTGGCTAAGACACAACCAGCCGTACCGCCTGTATAAATAGAGGGAGGGTCAGTATTATATCGACATCAGACTGGTTTTTTGTACTAACCGCCCACAATAATAAAATCGTATTGTCGTTGGTGTATTTCACTTGGTTCAAGACGCGGCATTGTTTAAAATTAAGATACAAAAAGGTAAACAAATGCCCCAGCGCCCTGCCCCCGAAAACTTGTTCTCATATCAGTAGTCTTTTTTTTTTCCAAACTAAAAGTGAGTCACATCACAGCCGGTGGTACAAAATATGCTTCATGCAATCACGCTACTAGTAGGTAGAACTTTGACACATCAGACCGTTCGAATTCCTGCTGGTTGCGAATTATACTTCTCTTGACTAACCGTCATTTGTATTATCAGATTAAGAGCCACAGCTCATTGTTTTTTTCCTTCGTAATCCATAATTAAGCAACCGTCTATATATGCATTCTTAAACCTCTAGCATTTAGCAATCATAAAATAGAGGAGAAAGAGTAATCAAAGATATCATTTCTAGACTCTTAAAGGCCAACCAGCCGTATGATTGGAAAATGCAAGAATGGATAGACACAATTTTTTCCATAGTGTACGCAGCAATGTTTAAATGCCTGAGTAATCATTTTTAATAGAACTACTTATCATTTAAAACTATGGAACAAAACAAATGAATTTAATGTGCTATATCACCAGTAACTCAACTATGGACCAGTGAGATCTGCAGGCCTTCTATAATACAACTTTAACAGCTATTAAAAGAGTATATAATTGGAAGTAAAAACGCGCGGTCCTTAGGAAGTGGAATCATTGTCTATTATTCACAAGTGTTTGCGAAGCAAGCCGCATTAGTTAAGAGGATGCTTTAATTACAGTTGTGTCAGAAAACAAGACTGGAGACGAATACGAAGCAGAAAAGCTTTTTATATATCATTTTCGTGATTTATCGAAAAATAAGCGAGTTGCTATGAAAGAATATCTGATCGCGAGGAAGCTACTTAACAAAATGCCATTTATTATAGGTTTAACTATCGGATAAAACCAAGTACTAAAATATAAGCGCATCTTTTGAGACAGTGTTAGCAAATTGTTCAACCACACCTTCTTCCTAAGTTTAAAATAAAGCGCCTGGTTCTCTACAGAACCTTGATTTTAATATCCAATGGTTAGGATTAAGATACTAATCACTTTTCAAACGCGTCTTGTTAAAGACAATGAGTACATATAAAGCGCCCACCACCTTATACCCCTGGTTTTTGTTGTCTAGGCTGCTTGTTTGGGAATTCAAAAAAAAAAAAAAATCACTGCTACAAGATGGCCATTGTAAGCTTTCATGCATATTCTTTCTCTGAGAGCAAGCAATGGCAATGATATATGTTAGCAAGAATGATTTACATAAAAGCCAAATGCCATACTGCAATGCGCTATTGGATTGTGACAAGCAGTGTTACTCTTTACTTGATAACTACACGGATTTTTGACATTTTTTTTCTTTTTTGACAGCCCACACATACACAAGATATGCGAGATTATTTTTATTATATGTACGATTTTTTTTTTATATATATTTTTATTTCATTTTGCTGGTCTATAAAAAGTTGGTAGTTGTTGTTTGTTGTTGGCTTGCGACAGGGATGTGAATTGAAAAGGGGGGGAGGGTAATGAAAAATTTATTCAAGGATGACAGTAGCACCAAGAGCTTCAAGAGCCTTTTGTAACTTCTCGGCCTCTTCCTTGGAAATACCTTCCTTGAGAACCTTGGGTACACTTTCAACAAACTTCTTGGCCTCAACCAAGTTTAAACCACACAAGTTCTTAACTTCACGGATAACCTTAGCCTTTGAAGCAGCATCTACCTTATCAATCTTGACGTTAAATTCGGTCTTTTCAACAGGCTTCTCTTCTTCAGCAGCAGCAGCGGGGGCGGCAGAAGTAGGCATAGACATGGGCATAGCAATATCTTGAATGTTCAAACGAGTCTACAATCATATCGTAATTTTTTTTTATTTTTTTAGTCTCTCTGCTATCCCTCTGTTCGCTATTGAAAAAAAAAAGTTACCTTTAATTGTGCAACAAGTTCAGAGGTTTGCAATAATGTTAAACCTTCAATTTGGTCAACAATACCAGCAATCTTGGGATCGACAGTGGCACCGGAACCAGGGGTAGGAAGAACATCAGCAGACATGAAACGCTTAGCACACATGGTGGGAGCAGCAACTGACATACTATCATTATTATTAGTTTTTTTTCCCCTGCCATGTCAACTATCAAAAAACTTTTTTTTTTTTTTACCGAACAGATTGTCTGGCAGCAACAGAGGCTGAGGTCATCAACTTGGAGGAGAAACGAAGCTAATGATTTTTGTTGAAATGTGTTATTATCATAACTAAACTTTGAGTGAAAATGTCAATTCGAAATTTTACCATTATAATTTGAAGGGGTGGAGGGGTCTTGAAAAAGAAAAATACGGGGATAGGCGAGCCAAGGGTAGCAAAAAAAAAGCAACCAAAAAAAAAAAAAATCACTTTCATTCTCCGTCAAGGTCTCCCTAACTCGGGAAAACGGTCACACATTTGTGACGTCAAAAAAGAGGTTTGTTTGTTTTTTGCTCAGTCATGCAAAAAAAAATGAATTATGTTTTATTAGAAAATGTGGGGGGGGGGGGAGGGGGAACTGATTTATGCTTCTTCGAGGAATCGATATTCGAATCTGAACTCGGTCTTTTTACGTTGACACCATGCACCTTCATAATCAAAGTAAATGTAGGTGCCCTGTTCATAATCCTCTGTAATGACCTTGGGTTCTTCATGACGTTGGAACCATGTCAAGTACTTTTTATGAAATCTCCATGATTGTTTCTTTAATTCCTTTGCCGCCAAATACCTATTTTTGATAAACATTGTTAGATTCACATTCTCTTTTTTTTTTAAAAAAAAAAGATACGTTACTGTTGATAAGTGCCTTGTTGATAATAAAAGATATAAAAGAGGGTATCCATATCAAACTTGTCAAATAAGACAGGGTTATCAAAGATCGCCAAAGGTTGTTGTGGGTAATAATTGGGTGTATTAAATGGATTACGTGGTTGGTACACTTTAGGTCTTTCTGAATCAATAAGATCAGGCACATGTTGTAAACTAGCATCCAACATCAAGTTCGTGTATTGTGAATTATCTTGTTTGCGTAACGCCTTGTTCTTTACAGACTCAAAGCAAGGTGCCAAATCTGCCAATGAAGCAGGTAATCGTGCTTCATTTTCACTACTAGTCTTGGGCATCTGTTGTTGTTGCTGCTGCTGTTGTTGTTGCTGTTGCTGTTGTTGTTGCTGCGATTGTTGCTGTTGATGATGATGCTGTTGTTGGTATTGGCTCGATAATAAACTGCTCTTCTTCGATTGATCAACAATCTTGGGTGGCTCGTTCCATGCAGACATGGGTTCCTTGTTTTTGCTGTTGGAAGGTGAAGCTACAACAGCAGAAGCAGCGGCTTGTGCATATTTTAACGTGGGTTCTTTGGTGGTCTTTACCGCACTTGATTCAACTTCGTCTTGCACTAAAGCCATTGATTAAATTGATGCTGTTCATGAGAGAAAGGGTTCCATTGCTTTCACTTACATGATTTTAGACTAGATTTACTATGTGATTTACTTGAGGGGCTTTGAACAGGACTTGACACATTGGAATATTCCTGGAATGTTTGCATAAGTAATTAAAAAAAAAAAAAGCCATAAGATTTGCTTACATCATCTTCATCCTCATCCTCAGCATCTGAACCTGATTTATCTATTTTTTTTTAAAAAAAAAACGCGTGTATCAATACAAGGGGGTGTAATATATAAAGAAAAAGAAAAGTAAAAACTTTACTGTGGTATTCGTCAGTTCTGATAGCATAAAGCTCCTCTTCCTCTTCCAAATTCAACTCATCGTATAAACCTTCATCTTCTACGAAATCAGACTCTTTGTTTTCCTCAACGTAATACTGAATAGCGTCCTTAAACTCATTCACACGATCGGGTTCGAGATGGTCGTTTTCAAGTAATCTGAGAATGAGTTCTAAACGGTTAATGTGATACTTTCTTCTTTCGTTCAATCGTTCCTTCTCATGTAGTTCTTCCACGCGTTGATGATCTGCTTTTTTGTTACCCCGTTTCGAGCCTGCACCTTCCAACTGCTCAATAGCGAATTCTTCGGTTTCTACTTGCCTCGAAAGCTCATCAACCGCATTCGTGACAAACTCACAAGCATCAGCCTTTTCTTGATCCTTGGGATCCAACCGTTCCTTTTGCATCAGACCTTCTTTTGAATAAGCCTTTGTCTTCATTTCCTTTTCAACTTGTTTGAAGCGTTCCATCTGAGCTTCAATCAGCTTTCGATTGTCCATCAAGGCTCGTTTATCCTTGATGTCGTTGGACGATAACCAGGTCTTGATTTGATCCCGAAGTCGTTGTAATTTCTTGATTTCCTTTTTTAAATCCTGTTCGTATTTATCCTTCTGATTGGCATTGTTGGTATAATGAATCTTGTCAAAGATGGTCTCAAATGTCTCCACTCCTTCACTGACTTTCTTTAACAACCTATCAATCTCGGCTACACATAATGTCAGTTCTATGGTCCCCTTTTCCCTTTTCCTTCTCCTACTTTACATTGTAACTTTTTCATGGACATTTTATTATTATGTATCTTTTTTTGTTGTTCTGTAGAATGATAGAAAGGGAAAAAAAAAGAAAAAGAAAGAAATCCCACAAAGCTTGTTTGTTGTAGCAACTTTCAATCACAGCGCACCCCCACACACGTGATACATTCTCACTTCAAATATCCAACCCTTTTCACACTATAAAATCGAATCATCTCCTCCCTTCCACAATGTGTATATTGACTTTTTATGGCAATCACAGTACATCCGCATCTTTATTTTCAACCTGTTCATCTCGAGATACTTGAAATTGGGGTAACCATTCAACCACGCAATAAAAAAAAAAAGATACGTGGTCACCCCCCACTTTACATGACGTCGTTTCTTTTTTTTTTTTTTTTTTAATTTGAACTTAAAGCTGCAACTAAATAATAATAAAAAAAAATTTATTCATCTTTTTTGTAAAAAGAACATTTTTTAAATAATGAGTCAAGACGCTACCAACTCTTTCTCAAAGTTGAATTTGAACCCTGGTGCTTCCGAATGGAAACCCAGTTTCACCGCAAAGGCCTTTGTTCCTAGCTTTGGTGCTCCCGCCGCTGCCGCTCCTGCTGCTGCTCCTGTTGCAGCACCCGTTGCCGCTCCTGCTCCTGCACCCGTTGCCGCTCCTGGTAAACAAGCAACAACAACTAGCTTATAATTATCATACACTAACACTAATACTCATCCATAGCTCCCGTTGCTCCTAAGGTTGTCAAGGCTGAAGCTCCCAAGCCTGCCGGTAAACACCCCGCCAACTTTTTTTTTTTCTTCTTCTTAAAATGTGTTGCATGACTAACTTTTCTTTACACAATGTTTAGCTCCCAAGGTTGCTGAGACAAAGAAGGCTGCTGCTCCTGCCAAGGCCAAGTCTGCCGCACCCAAGGCCGCCGCTGCCGCTGCCGCCGCCGCTGCTGCTGCTGCTCCCATCCCCGATGTTGAAGATGTCGATGATGAAGTTGTTGCTGATTTATACGGCAAGGAACACATTAACGTTGTCTTCATGGGTCATGTCGGTTAGTTTCTTCTTTCTACCTTTTTTTAAACAAAAATTTTCGTGGCTTGTACTGACCTTTTCGCCGTTTCAATTTTTTTTTGCAGATGCCGGTAAATCCACCATGGGCGGTAACATCCTCTATTTGACCGGTATGGTCGATAAGCGTACTTTAGAAAAGTATGAAAAGGAAGCCAAGGATGCCGGTAGAGAATCATGGTATCTTTCTTGGGCTTTAGATACCAACACCGAAGAAAGAGCCAAGGGTAAGACCGTCGAGACCGGTAGAGCTTACTTTGAGACCGATAAACGTCGTTATACTATCTTGGATGCTCCTGGCCATAAGAACTTTGTGCCCAGTATGATTCAAGGTGCTTCTCAAGCCGATATTGGTGTCCTTGTCATTTCTGCTCGTAAGGGTGAGTTTGAAACTGGTTTTGATCGTGGAGGACAAACACGTGAGCACGCTATGTTGGCCAAGACCTCTGGTATCAACAAGATGGTCATTGCTATTAACAAGATGGATGATCCTACCGTCAACTGGGACAAGGCTAGATACGATGAAATCATTGCTAAACTCACTCCCTTCTTGAAGCAATCTGGTTATAACCCCAAGACCGATGTTCACTTTATGCCCATTTCCGGTTTCTCTGGTGCCAACATCAAGGATTGTGATAGAAAGGTCTGTCCTTACTACACTGGTCCTTCTCTCTTGGAATTTTTGGATAACTATAAGCCTAACGACAGAAAGCTCAATGCTCCTCTCATGATCCCTCTCTCTGAAAAGTACAAGGTAAAATAACGTGTTTTATGTGTGTGTGTATGTATATATGATGTATTAACGCTAGGAAATGATGTTAGGATATGGGTACCATTGTTGTTGGTAAGATTGAAGCTGGTCACATCAAGAAGGGTCAAGCTGTTATGTTGATGCCCAACAAGGTAAAAATAATAAAAAAAAAAAAATTCATGCAAAAAAATAAAAAAGGGGGGCGGGGGATGGAAGTGAAATATGCATTGAAGGGAACTAACAGATTATTTCCTGAACACAGCAAGCTACTGAAGTCACAGCTATTTACAACGAAACAGGTGAGGAGATTGAACAAGCCATGTGTGGTGACAACATTCGTATGCGTATTAAGGGTGTTGAGGAAGAAGAAGTGATGCCTGGTTTCGTCTTGTGTAGTAAGAAGAACCCTGTGCGTACCACCACTTGTTTCGAGGCTCAATTAGCCATTCTTGACCACAAGAATATTATTTGTGCTGGTTACACTGCTGTTTTACATCTTCACGCTGCTGCTGAAGAAATCTCCATCTCTGCTCTTTTACATTTGATTGACAAAAAGACCGGTAAGAAGACCAGAAAGCCTCCTCAATTTGTCAAGCAAGGTCAAAAGGTTATTGCTAGAATTGAAACTTCTGGTCCCATCTGTATCGAAACTTTTGATAAGTTGCCTCAATTAGGTCGTTTCACTTTGCGTGATGAAGGAAAGACGGTTGCTATTGGTAAAGTAACCAAGGTTTTAGAAAACTCTGATTAAATTTTTTTTTTTTTTTGTAATACACACCCCCCAATACATCCTATCCCTCCCCCCATATGCTTACACATCTACACTTTTGAATTTTCCGATTCGCTGTAAAATTAAACTAGTTTAAACCCAAAAAGGAGAACAAAGTCTATATGTATCAAAAATTGGGGTAGTAGGAGGTCCAAAAAAAATAAATTATGATTTGGGAAATATTTTTTTTTATTATTATTATTATTAATAATTTGATATGTGTGTGTATATATGTATATATTTAGAGAGAAGCACGAGTACGGATAGAAGCCAACTTGTCAGCAATTTGTTGTAAAAAGACTTCGGTAGTAGAGTAATGCTCAGCAGTCATCTTCTTACCATAGATGATCAAGGCTAAATCCTTGGTCATGTGGTTATCAACCTCAATTGTCTCAATACAAGCCTTTTCTAAATCGTTACAGAAAGTAAGCAACTCAGCATTGTCATCCAACTTGGCACGATGTTGAAGACCACGGGTCCAGGCAAAGATAGAGGCAATAGGGTTGGTAGAGGTCTTGTTACCCTTTTGATGTTCTCTGTAATGTCTGGTCACGGTACCGTGGGCAGCTTCAGCCTCCACAGTCTTACCATCGGGGGTATAAAGAACAGATGTCATCAAACCAAGAGAACCATAACCTTGAGCAATAATATCAGATTGAACATCACCATCATAGTTCTTGGTGGCCCAGACAAAGTTACCATCGGACTTGAGGGCTTGAGCAACCATATCATCAATAAGACGATGTTCGTACCAAATACCAGCAGCCTCAAATTGAGTCTTGTATTGAGCTTGATAGATTTCTTCAAAGATATCCTTGAAACGACCATCATAGGCCTTAAGAATGGTGTTCTTGGTACTCAAGTAAAGAGGCATCTTACGTTCAAGAGCAACACGGAAACAGGCATGACCGAAACCTTGGATAGATTCATCTGTATTGTACATGGCTAAACCAACACCTCCACCATTCTCAAAGTTGTAGACCTCGAACTTCTTGGGCTCAGAACCATCAGTGGGGGTATAGATTAATTCAAATTTACCGGGGCCAGGTGCAACAAAGTCGGTGGCACGGTACTTTATTTTTTATATTAAGGGTTAGCATGATATATATAATACACATAAACACATATAAACACAGAAACACAGAAAAAAATAATACTTACTTGGTCACCAAAGGCATGTCTACCAACAATGATAGGGTTAACCCAACCAGGAACCAACTTGGGTAAAGTCTTGACAATGATAGGTTCACGGAAGACAGTACCGTTCAAGATATTACGAATAGTACCATTAGGGGATTTCCACATCTTCTTGAGTTTAAATTCTAGGATAACGGAAAAATAATTAATCATTTTTGGCCCCGCTTTCCCCACATTTTCCCAACCAACCTTCTACACGAGCCTCGTCAGGAGTAATAGTGGCACACTTGATACCAACGTTATACTTCTTGATGGCTTCAGCAGCATCAATAGTCACTTGATCATCAGTCTATAAATATGTCAAAATGTTTAGTACAGATGACGCAATATGGCAAAAAAATTTTATAAACAATCACTTACAGCATCACGGTTTTCAACAGAAAGATCATAGTACTTGATGTCAAGTTCAAGATAAGGCAAAATAAGCTTCTCCTTGATGAATTGCCAGATAATTCTAGTCATCTCATCACCATCGAGGTCAACAACAGGGTTCTTTACAACAATCTTTCCAACCATTTTTTTAAAAAAATATCTATATAATCAAGAGAGAAAGAAGAAGAAAAAAATAATAATAAAAAAAAAAAAATCAGGGCATTTTTATGTGTGTGTGTGTGTGTGTGTGTACACTTTTTTTAATCCCAGCCAGCCATGACAAATGCAAAATTGCGGGGATAGTTGGCATGACGGAATTGGCCGGAGATCCTCTTTTTTCATCACCCGCTTTGGCTTATTTGATAATCTTTCTGCAAAAAATAAATTCTCCCCCAAAAAATAATTGGCTATACAAATAACCGTGCCTGGAAGATGGTGTGCTCTTTTTTTTCTTTTCGTACATTTTAACCCAATTAGCAATTATTTCCCCGGATACCCGTGATTTACAAGAAATGTGAATGGGGTTATATTTTTTTTTTCCGTATGTATAAAAAAGAAAAAAAAAAAAAAAAGAGAAAGAAAATATTATAATAATGTGTGTGTGTGCGTGTGAATATATATAAACAATGAGTAGGGGGGGACAAGAGAGAGAGGGGGGGGGGGGGGGAGAGATAAATAATGATACAAAAAAAAAAAAAAATGTGATATGTGTTGTGAGGGGATGTGTGTCGAATCTTTTCTATTGGGCAGTGGCAGTGACGGTTAATTTTCCTCTTTGAATGGCCTGCACAAAAGCTTCTTCCATATCTAATTCACCTTCCAGCGGTTCATTTTCTCCCGTGGCCTCATTCTTATACTGCATCGTCACCTGCATACCAATACGTTCCACCACTTTTTGTCTCAACATATCTAAAGTACAATCCGTCGGCACTTTCATGGCAAACATATCGTCCTTGTGTACAATCTTGATCTTGATCTGATTCTGTTGTTGTCCTCCTCCTCCTCCTCCTCCTTGAGATTGTTGAGACTGATGAGAATGGCTGACACGTGGATCATAGTCCAATTCAATATCTCCTTCATGAATACCGAATAATTGCCTTTGCACAAGCTCACTTTCTGCTAAATAGCCCGGTAACTTTAATAAATCTTTACAATATCTGTCCAAATCCACTTGCCGTTCTTGCGTAATCTCATCCGTCACATTCTCTAATGGCCCCGGCATAAACGGTAATATACGCTCTCGTTCTTCCTTTCCTGCTTCCATAGGGAACATCTGCAGCAAATTGATCTGAAAGTCGTAAAAGTCTATATGTCATAGGAGAGAGAGGGGGGGGGGGGGTTTACATCAAATTAGTTATCTACAATCTTTTTTTTTTTAAAAAAAAAAGCTGTTGGGTTTCCATGATTACCTTCATATAAACGGTAAAGAATACGATGGGCTCCACCATGAACACGCGCATAAATGACAAACCAATACTGATCACCTTCCAGAATAAAAGAATCAATTGAAGCAAAAGTGACAAGCTCCAACATGGATTCTGTGGAAGAATCGGATAATCTAGTGGATTTAGGTGTCACTGCCACTGGTGTCGCCGAAGAAGACGATGCGACGGATGCGGTCTTTTCAAATACACCCAAGGGAATACTCGAAGCTTCATAACTCAATGTCATCTTTTTCCAATCTTCTACACCAGGTACAGGGTTGGATTGCTCAATGTGATCAATTAATTCTCCCGTTTGCGCATCTCGTACCTGAACAAAGGACACCGGAATCAATCCAGGTCCACCTAAACGTCCAATGGGTTTAGCAACAAACCATTCATGATTGGATTGAGCAATCACCACAATGGCTTCTCCTGCTGTCGCTTCAAGTTCATCGGGTCGCTCCGCTTTAAAGTCGTACATGACGACACCATACACTTGTTGGTGTTTCTTTTTTTGAATCCCTATTCCTATATCCAAAAAAAAAGTAAGCACGTCTTTTTTTCTCCTTGGGGGTTACGAAAGCATGCTGCTGATGATTTGTAAACTCACCTTGGGTAGTGGAGGAGAGGTCAGAAAATCCAGAATCTAACTCTGAGGTCAATGTGGACGAAGTGGAAGAAGAAGTAGGTCGATTGACAGGTAAACTACGCTCATTCTTTTCAATGACTTGAAAATAAGAGACAGGTACAAGACCTTGGGACTTGGACAATGGGTTACAAGCTTCAAACCATTGAGCGTCATGTTCTCTACCCGTGACATGAAAGAAATCACCTTTCTTAAACGAAAGTTCGGCACCAGACGTTGCTTGGTAATCGTGTAAAGCTTTAATAATCTTTTTAGGTAACTCTAACGTCACTTGTGCAATAGGTGTAGATATCTTGGCTTTCGTGAGTCGACGTAGACTTTTAGAAGCCCTTTCTTTAGTAGAAAGAAACATTGAAAGTGTAGGAAAAAAGGGTCAATCACAAAAAAAAAAAGAATAATAATATTAAAAAAAAGAAGAGAGGAGAAGAAAAAAAGTTTTTTTGTTGTCAGTGATGTGTTATTGTCAATTTGGACCATGGACCTTGTCTGGACCAATCGCATCTGTTTGTCCATGCCGTTGTCGGAGTTCAATTTACGCCTTGGTTGCATCATGTGTACCAACTTTTTTTTTTTTTGCCGTATAAACATGTAGCTTTTTTTTTTTAACCCCTTTTGATTGTTCTCTCTCTTATATATACTACATTTCTACTGCGTCACCTTATTATGCATAATTTAGTGAAACAAAAAGAACAGCGTAAGTAATCTCTTTCTCTCTCTTTTTTTTTTCTTTCTTTTTACTTCTTTTGATTACTTCTCTACCCCTTTTTTATCTTTAGACCTCTACGGAGACGACTCGATTGAAATTGCACAAACGGATGAAGACATTTTAGAGCAATCTGACTTGGATGAACGCATCATGGATGCAGAACAACGCTTCAGTACTTCCTCTGTTTCAACCTCTTATTTCGCTAGTGAATATTTTGAACATCCTGCACTGTATCGTGTTCTCTTTATGGGTTCTACCACCAAGGCCAAAAAGAATGAACTCCTTCTTAAACTATCCCAAGGATTTGTCCATGTTCTTGACCCAACGGATAAACCCCCACTGCGTAAACCCATCTTACCCTTCAAAGAGGTCAAACACAATGCTCTTTTACTCAATGAGGACGAAGAGGAACTGGTATCGCATATCTGTGAAGACTATGGTGTCTCCATGATCGAAGCTGATTTCACTTGGCATTCCAACGCTGTCAATTATTCCCGCGACCCTACACAACTCCTATTACAATATGCCTGGAATCAATGTCCCAACCCTAGAGAATTACCTTCCGCTTGGTTAGAAGCACAACTCTCTCAAACTGAATTTCAAGGTCAAATGTATCCTGAAAAGACACCCAACGGTATCGATCTTTGTGTTTATTTTTATGATGGTCCAGCTCATGATGATCGTACCAACCAAGATTTAAATACCTTGTGCATACTACGGAAATTAGGTATTTACGTCTTACCCTTGACCAACACCCGTGATGAATCCATCAGCACCCATTTCGCTGATTTGCTCACACGTTCCAAAGTAAGATGTCTGGACCTAGGAAATCTTGAGGTGGGTCAAGAACCTTCCTTCTTTCATCAACGTCAATCTACTGCAGACCGTATCTCTCGATTGCAAGGCATGGAATGTACTCAATCTAATATACCAAGAGTCGCTCCTTATCAAGTGGTGGCCGTAGAACAATTTTGTGGTATTGAGAATAAATCCGTATTCAAGCTATTAAAACGGACACGAGAGAGACAAGTGATACGAGATGAATTAAAGGAAGAATTAGCAAGGCAAAAATTACCCGATGTATCATCATCATCACCATCATCACCTATACCACCCTCTCCTTCACTACCATCACTAACCCCACCTCTACTCTTATCCGTACAGAGAAAATCCGCTTGGAAGTATCTTTTATTCTCCCTTTGTCTAACAGGTGGTATATGGCTTGTACAACGTCCAACCTTATCTGAACCTTGGGAAGCATCCTTTACAGCTACGCCCGACAGGAAATTTATTCTCTCTACACGCAATACCACAGGTCATCTTGCATGGTCTGATCCTTTACCTTCTGTCTGGCTTAACCATCATTATGCTGTACCTGTGCAACGACAAGAGCAAATAGGCATGTATACACTTTTTACCCCAAACTTGAATAATGTATCAGTCCTTGTTTTCAGCATCAATTCAACCGAGATGAGTTTTAAACAATCTGATAAACCCGTTTTTGTCCTGCTAGAAGCCGTAGCAACAACTCCAGTACCGTCACTACCGATCCTATTAGAAAAGAATGTGGATGAGGGTAGGATGAATCATCCCAATAGAACGGAGGAAAAGGAGGAAGAGGAAGAGAAAGAGCAGGATGAAGAGAGAGGTTTTTTGGAAGCATTTTGGAATTACGTTGTCTTTTTAGCAAATAATCCCATTTCAAAGATTAAAGTACTGACAGTCGAATAATAAAAAAGATATTTTTTATTTAGTTTTTTTACTTGGGGAATGAGGTGTATAAATGATGAAAAGAATAAAAAATTATGTATATATAAGAAAGAGTTAAATATCACGAACAATGGATTCTAAAGGAGCATTTTCATAAATAATACGATAGACTGTATTAAACAAGGGGAATTCCTGAGTCATTTGACGAGCAGAAAGGAATTGATGTACTTCTTCAGCAGTTAAAGTACCTTGTAACTTTTGACCATTTAATAATTCCTTTTCCAAGACATCAATTGGTTTACCCGTGATAGCAAAAGCCTCTGCTACTTTACGGTTACGTCCACCAGAACATGTGGTAATTAAATCAGCAACACCACACGATTCAAAAAACGTTGTGTCTTCCACTGTACCGAAAAATGTCTGTCCAAACTTGCGCATCTCCATTAATCCTAATCGGATAATCGCTGCCTTTGTATTACTTCCGTAACTAGAAAAAAAAAATGATCTCAGTCAGTTTTCATCTTTTTTTTTTAGCTCTAGACTCTCTCTCTTATTTACCCTAAACCATCAGAGATACCAGCACCCACAGCAACCACGTTTTTCAAGGCACCACAGAGTTCAACACCCACATAGTCACGAATGACATTGACATGGAAATAACTGGTATTGAATAATTTAAAGAACAATTCACCATCCTCAGCAGATCGACTTCCAATGGTTGTTTCACAGAATCGTTCTAAAGCCACTTCATCAGCAATATTAGCACCACTGAGAGCAGCTACGTTAATACCCAACTGACGAGATATTTCCTCTGAGAATAAAGTGACACCTTCAGGTTTAATTTCGAGACCCTTGATGAGGGAGATGGCTTTGGCATGAGGAGCAATATGGTTCTTCATCTCGTTACAGACACCACGTACAAATTGATGGGGTAATACAAAGATCAAGACGGAAGCACCACGACTGGCTTCAACCAGGTTGGGGACAGCCTTGATATTATCTGTAAACTTGATACCCGGTAAATACTTGGGATTTTCGCGCTCACGATTAATCACATCCGTTAACTTTTCTCCCTTGAAGTCTTCTTCAAAAACCCATTGTCGTACTTCTCGTTCAAAGATATCTGAGTGCTTCAATACATTTTCTGCAACAATCTTTCCTACCGCTGAACCCCTTTTTTTTTTGTTGTTGGTTTGGTTTAGTACATCTTTTGGGGGTTGTATCTTTATACTTTTGCTTACCAGTTACCGGAGCCAATCACACATACACTTTCTTTAGTCATACTTTTATAAAATCTTTTAGATAAAAGAAAAGGCAATGGTCGTATCGAAGATTGAATATATTTATAGGCCATCATTTTTTTTTTTTTTTTTTGTTGGTTTTGGAAAAAAAAGAGGGATGATATTCTTGTATTACCTGGCTTTGAAAAACTTTAAAATTTTTCTTGTCACCGTGATAAGAATAAGAAACTTTAATGCTAGTATTTTGCATGTGCAGGCATATGAATGCTTCATTTCACATGTTGTCTATCTTATGACTATTATTAAAAAAAGACCCTTCACAAATTCAGTCAATTTCCCTATTTTCATATCTTTTATTATGTATTTAGGCTATTACCCGAAAAAAAAAACGTGTCTTATTCTTTCTTTTTTTTTCATATGAAGATGATATATTGACTTTTAGTGCCACTATAATTCTTTTAGAATACTTTACTTAAACAACACACACGTGGCACTCAAAAAGGGTCGTTTTGTTTATTCTCTATGAAAAAAAGGGTCGTCTTTTACTTCTACCATTTTTCCCGCACCCTCCCCCCCTCCCCCAACGCGGCAAAAAAAAAAAGTTGTCTGTTCTTAAAACGGCGGGATTTTCTTGTGATTTTACGTGGATCTTTTTATAAGATCTTCCTTTTATTTTCTTCTACAATCACTAAATGATGCTGCATAAAATATAAATAAACAAAAAAAGTGTGCTACAAGGTCCGTGTGTTCCAAGCCGCGTGTCATCTCTCTAAAAATAAAGTCTTTGTATTCATCTTTTTTTCCTTTCTCTCTTGACTAATCGTTGCATGGCAACCCCCCCCCCCATCTGTCAGTCGCTGTTCCCATACGGGTGGGCGATCCATAGTAACGTGCCGCCTGCCTTTTTTACTGTCTTTAAATTAAATGTCTCATTCAAACTCAGATAGCTTGCTTACAGTGTTGTCACTTCAAATTCAAACAAATGCAAATTATTTTTGGACAAACTTAGAGGAAGAAACAGTTTTTGAATACACCCAAAGATATTTTTTTGCCCGTTTTAATTTTTCTAAGATAAACATAAATACGTAGGTACGTTTTTAGCAACAAATAAACCTGCTAATTTTCAACTTGTATAGCTTTGAAAAATTATAAAATTTACCTCAACGAAAAGGAAGGATGTTTATCAATAGCCTGTACACAGATGGGTACACTTGTAGGATTTTTTTTTGCCGAAAGAGATACGCAGAGTCTCTTGTAAATGAAACTTCTTTGAAGCTACAGTGCATCTATTTTACAATGAACAATTTTTGGCTCCGATTTTTCAAAAAAAAATAAAAACTCTATCTCCTCGATGAATTCAACAGGTATCCAAAATCCGGCTCTATTACATTCTTTATTAGAGAGTTCTCCACAAACTAATAGAGCCGGATTTTTTTTTTTCACACAAAATTTTTTACAGATGGCAAAACAAAATTGCCCATTTACAGTGGAGAGACCCAAAGATGTCCGGTAGGTGTTTTACAGTGCAAAAATTCATAAAAATCCAACGGATATATCCCGGTTAAACATTTTCCCGCGATAAATCAGATTTCTCTGTCAAAAAATATGAAAATCACCAGTCTAAAAATCCGACTTTTAAGTTCTGAAAATGTTCGTTTTAACGAAAATTGTTCATTGTAAAATAGATGCACTGTACATTATTTCAATAGTGAAGAAATATATATTTTAGACCTTGCACAGTAGATCCCAACAGGAAAGATGTTTTTGTGTCATTTCATGGTAACACGGATGTTAGGCGGCTATCATCTGCCGAATATTACAACATGAATGGAAGTGCCAATCGTCTGAAGTTGGAGCAAGACAGGAAGAAAGAACAAGGAGTGCAAACAATCGAGACAAACATACCTTCTGTAAAGTCAGCAGTTACTGATAAATATATTACGCATGTGAAATACATGATGCAACATAAGGACACACTATTTAGTTTTTACAATTTTCAAACAGCAAGAGTCAAATGGTGTAATTACATTAGAAAACAGCGTGCCCTCCAGGATGCTGTAAATATCCTAATTAACGGATCAAAGAAGTACAATAAAGGACGACGGAAGAAAACAAGAAAAAACAAGAAAAAACAAGAGAAAAAGACGCAAGACAGCTGCAAAGTATCAAAGCAACACCCCTCAAGCCGGCTCAAGACAAAGAAAAAGTCTAACACTAAATCTGAATTTCCATTTTTATATCGTCTGAAAAGGGTAAGCAAATGTCTGAAAGTGAATTTTTATTTGTCTGAAAAAAACTGATATTGTCTGAATTTGAAGTGTAAACACTGTATATAAATCAAAATGTGGCGTCTGAGGAACCCACCCTTTTCTCTCTTTAGCATCCTCACACACACTGCCAATAACAGAGAGGGAACCTGTGATTGTCAGGTTAATAATACATAACACTCTGACACACACAATGGTTTTTATTATTATATAGTAAAGAAAGAAATAAAATAAACGAGATATTTAGTCATTAGCTATTAGAACGGATAATTTATTTTATAACAAACCCAAAAAAAAAACGTTACTTTGTTGATATGAGTGTCATCTTTTAACTTGGGCAGTAGTAGAATGAACCACAGTTTATTGTTATTGGCAAGTTGTATGGGTTCATCACAAGAATAAAATAAAAAAATATCCTTTTACGAACGAGGATCCGAGGTTACACTGACTTTTCATGCAAAAAAAAAAAAACAAATGTATAGAAAAGACACTGCTTTGTATTTTTGTTTGCATAGAATGAATAATAAATTTTATTGTATAGAATAGACTTGTAGCATTCTTATTTGATGACTCTTTTCACATCAGACACGCGGGTGTTGAGTACATGAGTGACAAAAGAGGTACAACCCTGCAAAATAGACAGATCATTCAGTCTCAGACGTCAGAAATTAGAACGAAAATAACTTTATACAATTGGACTGAAACACTAAAAAAGTGTTCATTGATAGACAATTTACATATCTCTGTTGATATGTGATCTATCTTACAGGATATTAAAAGCTGATTTGCTGTAATTACAATGGTCATGATTAGGGGAGCGCCTTTTAGTTGAAAATGACATCCGACAAACACCGTCCAATGCGAGCAAATACAACGCTCAACCCCCTTATTCTTAAATACTCATAACGTTTTAAAAAGAAAAAGTGTCACAGGGGCTCAAATGAAATTTATCATTCTGTAAGCACAAAAAAAAAGAGTTGGTGGTGGGTGACATGAAAATTAAAACCCCACCCCGTATAAAAAATAAAAATCGCTCTTTTTTATTTTTATTTTTTATTTCTTGGCTCCTTGTTTTTTCTTTCTTTTCTTTCTCTCTCTCTTTTTAAACACACAACTAAAACTATATACCTATTGGTGTCATGTTGGCAGATGCATATGGTAATGCCTAGTTACCATCCGAAACAACTTAAAACTCAACAAAAGTCCTTCTTTTTTATTCATCTAAATAGATTTCCTATTGAAATTACTACTTGTCGGTGATTCCGGTGCTGGAAAGTGAGTTTTCGTCCCCCTTCCCTTTTTTTTTTTTATATTCAATAAACATTTTTTATCTCTCTCTCTCTTTTTTTATACCCACTTTCCAATTGTATGCTTGAGGTTTCTATCTTTCTTTTCTTCTTTTAAATGTATTGATTTTCCCTTCTTTTTCTTCTGTAGGTCATGCTTATTATATCACTTTTTAGAAAATCAATGTAACCTTCACCAAAATATGATCACACACACACACACCAAAAAAGTACTAAAATTCCTCTTTTCACTTATCCTAGTTAAAAAAGATTCGGTCAACACAATTGGAATGGAATTCGGGACACGGATAATACATATTGCAGATAAATCCATCAAGCTACAAATTTGGGACACAGCAGGACAAGTAAATATATACATAAAAAGAGGAAAGAAGAGGAAAGAAGAGGAAAGAAAATAACTCAAATCCAAATAGGAACGATTTAGGTCTTTAACAAAGAGTTATTTTCGTGGTGCAGCAGGTGCACTGGTGGTATATGATATTTGCAAGTAAGTTTTTTTCTTTTTTTTTTTCTGAGTAAACGAAATATTCACACACACACACACATACATTGGTACAGTCGAGAAACATTTTTGGGGATTCGGTCATGGTTGACTGACGTAAGAGCATTAGCCAATCCAGAATTAGTCATTATTTTAGTGGGTAACAAGAATGATAAAGCCGATGAACGAGAAGTGTCTTATTTGGAAGCTAGTAAATTTGCACAGGAGCATGGTAAACAATAGAATAAGTAGAGAGTATCTGCCGTATCTCTTATTTTTTTTTTATTATTATCTCTGTAGAAATGATGTTTTTGGAAGCAAGTGCTCTAAGTGGGGATGGCGTAGAAGATATGTTTTTTAAATGTGCTCGATCTATCTTGAGCAAAATTGAAACAGGTCAAATCGATCCTGAGCGAAGTGGAAGTGGTGTACAATTTGGTGATTCCAGTCTAAGGAGAATGACGCAAAGAACACGTACTAGAAAGAAAGAGAGATCATGTTGCTTTTAAAACAAATAAATACCTTGTTTTTTTTTATTTTATTTTTTTATGCATAATACATATATTTTAGAAAACCGCTCAAGGCGGGGGATGGTTGGGGGGGATATATATTTTATTATTCACGCAATGATATCAATCACTTTATTCCATGCCCGTCTCCATTTGGGAAGCGCTTCTTCTTCAATATCTTCTTCCTTGACTGATAAAACGTCATCTTGAAGTGTCCCTGTTTCGAAATCCATCTCCAGTGTCTTTACAAAGGCAGGTCGCTTGATCAATTTATGACCAAAATAAAGCACAATACAAAACATGACGGACAAATAAGAGGAAACACAGTTTTTGGGATCAATCGGTGGAAGAAACGTCTGATATCCTTGACCAGCAATCACTATACATCCAACAATAATCACAAAGATATCTCCAAAGGGGAAAAAAGGTGCTGCATACGGTAATGAAGACACTAATTTTCCTTGTGCTTTCAATCCCATGCGGAATCGAATATGCGTAATCGAGATCGTCACCCATACAATCAATCCTGCCACTGAAGGAAGTGCTGTTAACCAGTTAAAGACCACACCAGAACTAAATAAACTGGTCAAGAAAGCCAAACATCCAATACCACAGGTAGCAAGTACAGAGTAAATAGGAATACCCCATCGATTCACACGCGTAAAAAAGCGTGGTGCAGATCCATCTTGAGCAAGCGCTAAAAGGGTTCGACTGGATGAATACACACCTGAATTGCCTGCAGATATCATGGTGATCAAAATAATAGCATTCATCAGATCGGCAGCCCATGCAGCACCTGCTTTTCGAAATACTAACGTAAACGGTGATACAGCTACATTACCAGATCCTTTTAAAAGATCAGGATCCGTATATGGAATAACGAGACCAATGATCAACATGGACAAGATATAAAACAGTACAATTCGAAAGAACACTTGTTTCACTGCAGAGGGTACCGTCTTGTGAGGATTTTGTGATTCTCCTGCTGTAATACCTACAA